ATATATATATATATATGGGGCAAAGAAGTAATTCCAACAGTGTGGACAAGTTCAGGTTGTCAAATTTTCGGAGCGATCTACTCCTCTATATACTGAACCTATGTATATAGCTACTGCATGTCTTTATCAAGGAGATATGACCATATTGTATAACTTCAGGTTGGTTTGTTTTTAAGATTATAGGTATAGATAAGGCAGATAATACTGACCGTTATCACACGAAATCTCCTCAACTTAAAGTCGAAGGTAGATCAACAACATAATCCCCCAAACAGTATACATGTATACATGTACCACCACAACAAGACTATTAGGAGGGAAGGGATACAGTATACATGTACCACCACAACAAGTCTATTAGGAGGGAAGGGATACAGTATACATGTACCACCACAACAAGTCTATTAGGAGGGAAGGGATACAGTATACATGTACCACCACAACAAGTCTATTAGGAGGGAAGGGATACAGTATACATGTACCACCACAACAAGTCTATTAGGAGGGAAGGGATACAGTATACATGTACCACCACAACAAGTCTATTAGGAGGGAAGGGATACAGTATACATGTACCACCACAACAAGTCTATTAGGAGGGAAGGGATACAGTATACATGTACCACCACAACAAGTCTATTAGGAGGGAAGGGATACAGTATACATGTACCACCACAACAAGTCTATTAGGAGGGAAGGGATACAGTATACATGTACCACCACAACAAGTCTATTAGGAGGGAAGGGATACAGTATACATGTACCACCACAACAAGTCTATTAGGAGGGAAGGGATACAGTATACATGTACCACCACAACAAGTCTATTAGGAGGGAAGGGATACAGTATACATGTACCACCACAACAAGTCTATTAGGAGGGAAGGGATACAGTATACATGTACCACCACAACAAGTCTATTAGGAGGGAAGGGATACAGTATACATGTACCACCACAACAAGTCTATTAGGAGGGAAGGGATACAGTATACATGTACCACCACAACAAGTCTATTAGGAGGGAAGGGATACAGTATACATGTACCACCACAACAAGTCTATTAGGAGGGAAGGGATACAGTATACATGTACCACCACAACAAGTCTATTAGGAGGGAAGGGATACAGTATACATGTACCACCACAACAAGTCTATTAGGAGGGAAGGGATACAGTATACATGTACCACCACAACAAGACTATTAGGAGGGAAGGGATACAGTATACATGTACCACCACAACAAGTCTATTAGGAGGGAAGGGATACAGTATACATGTACCACCACAACAAGTGCATTAGGAGGGAAGGGATACAGTATACATGTACCACCACAACAAGTCTAGTAGGAGGGAAGGGATACAGCATACATGTACCACCACAAGTCTATTAGGAGGGAAAGGATACATTATACATGTACAACCACAACAAGACTATAAGAAGGGAAGGGATACAGTATGCATATACCACCACAACAAGTCTAGTAGGAGGGAAGGGATACAGAATACATGAACCACCACAACAAGTCTGTTAGGAGGGAAGGGATACAGAATACATGAACCACCACAACAAGTCTAGTAGGAGGGAAGGGATACTGTATACATGTACGACCACAAGAAGACTATTAGGAGGGAATGGATACAGTATACATGTACCCCCACAACAAGTGCATTAGGAGGGAAGGGATACAGAATACATGTACCACCACATCAAGTCTATTAGGAGGGAAAGGATACATTATACATGTACCACCAAAACAAGACTATAAGGAGGGAAGGGATACAGAATACATGTACCACCACAGCAAGACTATTAGGAGGGAAGGGATACAGTATACATGTACCACCACAGCAAGACTTTTAGGAGGGAAGGGATACAGTATACATGTACCACCACAACAAGTCTATTAGGAGGGAAGGGATACATTATACATGTACCACCACAACAAGACTATAAGGAGGGAAGGGATACAGTATACATGTACCACCACAAGTCTATTAGGAGGGAAGGGATACTGTATACATGTACCACCACAATAAGACTATTAGGAGGGAAGGGATACAGTATACATGTACCACCACAACAAGACTATTAGGAGGGAAGGGATACAGTATACATGTACCACCACAACAAGACTATTAAGAGGGAAGTGATACAGTATACATGTACCACCACACCACAACAAGTATATTAGGAGGGAAGGTGCTACATGCAAAACCACCTTCAAAATCCATAGGTTCTTCATTTTGATATACTTATCTTCTCTGCATCCTAGCATAATACATGATAAAGTCAAAGGCTCAAAGTAAGCCATATGACTGGCTAAAGAAACAAGAGGCCCAGAGGGCCTGTATCACTCACCTGACTATGTTTAAAATAATTGGTATGAAGTAAAGATATAGCACTCCATGGTAGGTGCTGCAAGTACATATGAAATTTCAGAAAGATCCATCCAGTACTTGAGATATAGCGAGAACAAACTTCAAACAGAGCCCCACCCCTATGCCCCTAGGGGTATCATACCCAAAGTTTATACAAAATTGAGTCCCCTTGGCCCAAGGATGCTCCAGACTAAATTAGGATAAAATCCCTTAATCCCTATGGTAGAAGAAGGATTTTAAAGGTTTTCCCTCTATTCCCCCTATTGGGCCCGCCCCTCAGGTCCCAGGGGGGGCCACAACCAACGTTTATACAAAAATTGTTCCCCTTTACCTAAATATTATAAAAACCTGTGACTGTGAAGTTGAAAGTGAGTGAATCGCTAAGCTGATACATATGTGGATTACTGAGTAACTATGCAATATGTATGATGCCATTTATTTTGCATCAAAGAAATTATAAATGTATGAAGGATTCTGTAACAGTTTTCAGGATATTTGAGTTGTACCATTCACATGGTGGCACACACAAAACCTTTGCACCTTAGATTTTGTCATGACATATTGCAAGGGTGTAGACCTAGAGAACGTACAGATAGCAATCACTGCCAAAAACTGATCCTATACATTTCAAACTTTTTTTCCTGCCTGACAATAGTTTTGATAATTCATTTCTGAAAAGAGACCATATAACCTTGCAGATCTTTTATGACAAAGTAATTAAGATGAAATACACAAGATATCAACAGCAATATTGCGAGAGAAAAAAGAAATGGGGCCAAACATCAGGTATATATAAACCCTAGCTTGACCTCCGATCACAATACATATCCATGTACCAATTGACCTGCTGTTGAACTGTGATAGCTCCCTGGCTCAGTCTGACTATTGTTATGTCAGAAAGGAAATTAAGGTGAGGTTACTGTATGTAACAGCTAGGAGAGGGAAATTATGTATGGCCAGACAGTGGCTGCTTTCGTTGATCGTGATCCAAACAGTTGAACCAGTTGGACCAGAGTTGTTTGTTTATGAAATAAGGTCAGACATAGTTATTAAAAGCTGTTTTCAGGCAAGTCTTAAAAAAAGCCTTGCAAGGCCTGCATAAACTAATGCATGTCTGCCAGGATTTATAAAAAAAAATACATTTAAAAACAGACGAACCGGTTGTTCTGCATAAATGAACAGGCCCTGGGATTCAAACACAGGACCCTCTAAACTCTAGATGGGCACTCTACCAATTGAGCTACCTGGTTGTTGACAGAAGCGCCCCAGTTGACCACAGACGTCTGCATCTGGTGTGTAAATATGAGAAAATATAAAATAGTTTGCCTTCCCACACTACTATTGACTATTAGGTTTGCAGACTAATTTATATTTTCACACATTTACACACCAGATGCAGGTGCCTGTGATCAGATCCTACAAATATATGAAAAACTACAGTGGAATTCTGTAATCTTTCAGATATGCTTTTTCCTGCAACTGGTATGTTATGCAAAGGTTCGTTGTTCAAATGAAAGAACATAAGGCCTGTCCATCCTACTGATCCCGCTTGGCTGATGTTGGGGACAACGTTTGGCGGGCAAGTCAATGACATTACATAGCACAGTAACAACAATGGCAAAATGGGCGGGTCATGTTACCTAACTTGATCTAGCTCATCGAACTATTGCATGTACAACCTTGTTACAGTTATTTGATGAAATCAAAACGACGGTATGAAAGGTTACCTTAGTCGACCACTTCTCATAGTTCAACCTTAAAAACATCATGAAACTCACGCATTCGAGAGAAAAAAAGACGAGTCCTTCGTCCTTCTACTTTCTCTTCTGCTTTTCCTCTTCTAAGTCTATTTATAGATATGGGGAAACTAATTACAGCCTATTTTAACGGAAAGGTTCAAGGGCCTCAACACTGCCTTTACATAAAATTACATTATCGAAATTTTTCATTATTACATTTATGGGTGATGTAAATAAGAAATAATAATGAAATTGTGTTTCTACATAGATACTGTTTGTAGTATTTTGTCAAATAATACCTATCCGGCTCAACGGAACTGTAAATTACTGCTGTCGGAGGAAAGGACGCTTGTTGTCAATATTTGTTAGCTTAGCTAGTTGTCGCTTTTAGTGAAACACCTAATGGGGTCAAGCTATTTTGTGATACAGATTGGCATAGGAAACCCATTGACACTTTATCCGTCTGACCCATCTAAACTCAACTACTGTCGCTGTGTTCCAGATTTCCCTCTGTACGAGGTTTGTATGCCAGTTAATTTATTGGGAAACGTATTGAAGCAAAGTAAGCGTTTTTTATCCTTAGGTTAACCTGTGCCATCCGGTTAAGTTCAACGGCAGTCGATATCTGAGACATATGACCGATATGACTGTGACTATGAGTGATTCACATTTTCGGTGTTTACAGTTAGAAGTGTTTTGAATCACTTTTTTAATGATGTGTGTCCCTTTACTGGTTACATTTCCACTAGCTCACATGTATAATACGCTAGGCCTACAGTCTCGTCTATTTATATAGGACTGGTCTTGACAATAAGAAGTTATTAATGCTCGAAATGTTACATTTAAAAACAGAAAAACAGTTTGGTCCACATAAAGTAAACGAACAGGCCCCAGACATGGATTGGAACCCATGAACTCCAAACTCTTAGAGAGATGATTAACCCCTACTTTTACCAACTGAGCTACATGCACCTGGTCTTTGATGATCTACCCAATCCAGTTCTGCTACTCTAAAACTTCTCCCTCCTTCAACACAATCATGAGCTGCTGATGAAATGATGACAAACAAATCCCTATTATGCTACCTTCTGGGTATATTTAGTAGGGCTTGCTGCTGGTGAAACAACCACATACATGTATATCATTTGCAATGGCCAATTAAAGTAATTAAAAGCACTTCAGGGACCCAGGGATGTTGCCCTAGTTGCCCGGGCAACACCCTTTTTTCTGTGTCCAAAAATAATCTGGACCTAGGTTTTTGAAGATTTTCCTCTGTTTCATATGGGATTTCCTTCTAATATCAACCATCCCTTGAAGTCAGATTTTCTATGGCTTCCCCTTGCCAGCAGTTTGAATATCTATATATGCCTAAGGGTGTTGCCCAAACAAGGAGTCCAGTACTTATACTCTAAACAATAGGGGATTAATCCTCTATTGTCTATATATTAGTAGGGGATCCAGTAAGGTCAGTGGTCAAGGCTTACCGGACTGACTCTACCTTATCTTATTGTTCTAATGTAATAATCACCCTTTGTAAAAATTTACACAAAACTTTGTAGTTTCCTATAAAAGCTTGAAAATATATGAACTTAATTTCTGTACAAGGTTGTGCTCCTTCTATATGTAACTATGCTATATACAATGTTGTAATTGTGTACATCACACGCCATGTATCATATTTACTATATATGTATGTGACCTCTTGTTACACACGTAAGTGTGTCGGAGTGAATAAATAAAACTTGTTTCGTGGTACCCTTTCAGTTGAGAGAGATTAAACCATCTGTTGGAATTAGGTATATATATATAGGTAAAGTGTTATTTCTAAGGTAGAGTCCATTTCATGATAGATAAACCTGTATTTTCAATAATAAAGCAACAATAAAGCACCCTCCTTCGCATCACTTTATCAGGTGAATAATAACCAATGTTGGCATCAAAGCCTGGCGTGTACATCCTTTTCATTAGGAGTTGCCCTTGTACATATGTATGCATACTATTTCACTATAAAAGACAAACAATTAAATCATAATTCATATTTACATTTTATGGTGTATGACAAAATAAATCCGATTCTTTTAACCAAAAATCTACAATTTTTTAGAGAATTTGTTAACACTCGCTCTGCTCGGCCATCATAAAATATAAATACTCTACGTTATAAAATATAACCTGGAACATTACCGCAACCTCAGAAAACTATTCTACGCCTCATTCGATCTGTTTGACAATAGAAATAATGTCCGATAATTCTTTAGCCTCACTCCGCTCGGCAGGGAGAATATAATTGTCACAATCTCAGAAATAATGAAGTTCTTTGTTATATATTTTTTGGTGCCAGAAAGTAGTATCATGTACAACCTACACGAAAATTATAATTTATTAGTTCTAGATAAGTGCAAAAATCTGTCCTTTTCTAAGATAAAATTTTGGCCAACACCCAAAATTGATTTCTGGGTCCCCCCCTGCACTATATGTTGAACTGACAAGAAGGACTAATATTCAAGATTATTACAGATTTCGAGTGTAACAGATTTGGAACATCAGTAGGATTTTCTTAATTTAAGTTAATTATGTAAGCCCTCGATTATGCCATTTACCAGGTACTGGACGTCTCTTATATCCTCACTTGGGTCCAGCTCAATCTCTGAAATCTCCGTCACCTGTTCCTGATGTGATGGTTACTGGAGACGCTGAAAACGTTCCTTGCTCCCTTGATCAATTTTAAAATTATGCTTTTTAGGTCACCTGAGACAAAGTCTCAAGTGACCTATTGCGATCGCCTTTTGTCCGGCGTCCGTAGTGCGTCGTGCTTCCCCAAACCAATTTCAATGAAATTTTGCAGAAACCTTCCATGGCCAAAGGTCAACCAAAATTGTGAATTATATGGTCCCCAGCCCCCAGGGGCCTGAGGGGCGGGGCCAAAAAGGGTTGAATTGACTAAAATTTCAAAAATCTTCTTCTCAAGACCCAGATATGGTAGAATCAAATACTCTTCATAGATGGAAGGGTATTAAGGTGCTTTACCAAAATTGTGAACTTCTTGACCCTGGGGTCTCATGTTTACCCCTGGGGAGGGGGTAAACTTTACTATTGTTTATATAGGGAAATCACATTTTGGACCAACATTTGTTTAATTTCCATTGGAAGTAATTCAATTTAGGTTAGCATTATCAGTATTAGGTAGCAGTTTGATGGTATGCACATATGAGCCCTGACTGATCCCCCGGGGCTGATGGGATGGGACAAAAAGGGTCGAATTGACTGAAATTTCACAAATCTTCTTCTCAAGACCCAGTAATGGTAGAATCAAACACTCTTCATAGATTGAAGGGTCTTAAGTTGCTCTACCAAAATTGTGAATTTTATGACCCTGATTTATTATGGTTTATAATGGCAAATGTTACTTTGAATATTACATGTTAATAACTTGATTGGAATTATAACCCTGAGTTGACAGTTTGATACTTTGAAAATTTTGAGCCAGCCCTACTCCAAGGGCTGTAGGGTGGGGCCCAAAAGAGTCAGTGTGCTAAAATTTCTTCATTTTCCTTGTTTAGAATCGGAGGTGCTAGTTTCAAATACTATTTAGTCTTACATCTGTATGCTAGATATTGAATAAGGTGGTTTTATTGTTTTTTGTCACTATGAATAATTTTTCTGTTCATGTTAAAAACCAAATCAACTCTCTGTGTAAATATATCAGGTGACCGTTAAGGCCCATGGGCCTCTTGTTGATGTATAATTACAATGTATATGGAGGCCCATATGCATAGCAGCAACCATATCCTTAGACAAGTCTAAAGCGTACTATGAACACAAGGTTAGGTTCTGGATCACAAAGGATGAACAGGTACTCTGTCCAACTCGTCCTTCTTGTCAGTGTCTACTCTTCTACAATTAAGGACAAAGAAAGGAAGCCCATGACCCACAAGCAAATTCTGTGGCAACATCCTAATTAAGAGTAAAGCGAACATTTCCATCTAGTGTGTGAACCTCTGGCTACATTAGAGCAGCCTCCCAATTGAATAATGCGGCAACAAAGTTGATGGAAGCTAGTCAATGTGGGAACTTACTGCTATCATGGCCTCTGGCTATGTCTCCGACATGATCCAGTTGTATTTTTACAGTCAGGAGATGTCGCATCTTGACAAGTTTCGGCATATCATTCCTGAATTTGGACATTAGCTGTGGTAGCCTGGTGGTGTTGGAGTGCCTTATTCCACAGCACCAACACTTCCTTACCGGTATTACCAGATGGGAGTCTCTCATCAAAGATCTAATCAATACAGAGGCAAAAGGCATGGGCCTGAGGACACTCTTTGGCTTTCTTACAATCTGTAATCCAACAACTTTTCTGTTTAGATCCTTCCGATGCTTATAGTGCCCTTTGTGACCTATCGCTAACCCAAAGATCATCAGTGACATTTTGCCCTGAACCTTGGAAGTGGATAACACAGACAAACTTGCCTTTTGCAGTGTTACCTGTTCGCTAAGCTGTTGATCTGTATGATTCTCTCCCTATGGATAGTCTCTGTCACATGTTCCATGTTTTGCTGGGCACATTCCCCTCCCTCCCATTGCTCTCTTTGAAACCCTCTAGAATGATCCTGGTCCACGGTTAAGTCCTCTTCAGAGAGTTTGCACGTTATCATAGATATGTAGCTGTGTGATGTTGTATTAAATATAATTAATGTTATTATATAAAATGTTTGTGATGGATATTGATGTTTCTATCTGCAGGGTGATAATGACATGAAGCCATTTATGGTTCCCATCCTGGTTCTTGTTGTCACATTCTTGCCACAGAACACAGCTAACAGGAAAACCAGTAGGTTCAATCTACATTTTACAGTTTTGTTTGGCTTTATTCAACGACAGATACATTCATCAATATCACTGCTGCAGCAGCAAATGGAAGAACTGTTAAAAAAACATGCATTTCCACTCAGTAGAAACGAAGAAATTCTTTTTTATTAGATTATCCTGGTTTATGTAATTTTAAGCTATTTTCAATACTCATTAAAAAGGTTTTTTTACCTTGGAAAACATGTACACTCTTGAGAACATCTGAAACCAATTAACCAATGGCAGCAATATAAAACTGAATCTTGCAACCACATGAAAAACTATGCGTAGTATACGTAACCGTATGCAATCTACCCATGGCAACCATTGAGCCATACTCAATCAACATTTGGTAACCATACACAAACTATGCCTGGCCATCATACAAAAAGTAAGCTTGACAACCACATACCAACAAGGCTTCCTGGCAACAATACACAAACTAAACCTGGTAACCATGCATGTACACAAACAACACCTGGTAACAATACACAAAGTACACCTAGCAACCATACAAAAACTATACCTGGCAACCATTCACAAACTACACCTAGCAACCATACAAAAACAATGCCTGGCAACCATACCCAAACTTCACCTAGCAACCATTCAAAAACTATGCCTGGACACCATACACAAACTACACCTAGCAACCATCCAAAAACTAAGCCTGGCAACCATACACAAACTACACCTAGCAACCATTCAAAAACTATACCTGGACACCATACACAAACTACAACTAGCGACCATACAAAAACTTTGCCTGGCAACCATACACAAATTACACCTAGCAACCATCCAAAAACTAAGCCTGGACACTATACACAAACTACACCTAGCAACCATTCAAAAACTATGCCTGGACACCATACACAAACTACACCTAGCAACCATTCAAAAACTATTGCTGGACACCATACACAAACTACACCTAGCAAATATAAAAAAACTTTGCCTGGCAACCATACACAAACTACACCTAGCAACCATCCAAAAACTATGCCTGGAAACCATACACAAACTGCACCAAGCAACCATACAAAACCTATGCCTGGCAACCATACCCGAAATCATCTGGCAACCATACACAAAACAAATTTGGCAACCATACACAAAACAAATTTGGCAACCATACACAAAATAAATCTGCCAACAATACACAAAATAAGTTTGGAAACCATACATAAAGTAAATCTGCCAATCATACACAAAACAAGTTTGGCACCCATACAAAAAGTAAATCTGCCAACCATACACAAAATAAGTTTGGCACACATACATAAAGTAAATCTGCNAAAAACTATGCCTGGACATCATACACAAACTACACCTAGCAACCATGCACAAAAATTTTGCCTGGCAACCATACACAAACTACACCTAGTAACCATACACATTTTTTGCCTGGCAACCATACACGAAATCATCTGGCAACCATACACAAAATAAATCTGGCAACCATACACAAAATAAATCTGGCAACCATACACAAAATAATTCTTGCAACCATATACAAAACAAGTCCAGCAACCATACACAAAACAAATCTGCCAACCATACACAAAACAAATTTGGCAACCATACACAAAATAAATCTGCCAACCATACACAAAATAAGTTTAGCACCCATGCATAAAGTAAATCTGCCAATCATACACAAAACAAGTTTGCACCCATACATGAAGTAAATCTGCCAACCATACACAAAACAAGTTTGGCACCCATACATGAAGTAAATATGCCAACCATACACAAAACAAGTTTGGCACCCATACATTAAGTAAATCTGCCAATCATACACAAAACAAGTTGGCACCTGTTCATAAAGTAAATCTGCCAACCATACACAAAACAAGCTTGGCACCCATACATAAAGTAAATCTGCCAATCATACACAAAACAAGTTGGCACCTGTTCATAAAGTAAATCTGCCAACCATACACAAAATAAGTTTGGCACCCGTGCATAAAGTAAATCTGCCAATCATACACAAAACAAGTTTGGCACCTATACATAAATTAAATCTGCAAACCATACACAAAACAAGTTTGGCACCCATACAAAAAGTAAATCTGCCAACCATACACAAAATAAATCTGCCAACCATACACAAAATAAGTTTGGCACACATACATAAAATAAATCTGCCAACCATACACAAAATAAGTTTGGCACACATACATAAAGTAAATCTGTCAACCATACACAAAATAAGTTTGGCACCCATACATAAAGTAAATCTGACAACCATACACAAAACAAGTTTGGCACCTATACATAAAGTGAATCTGCCAACCATACACAAAACAAGTTTGGCTCCCATACATAAAGTAAATCTGCCAATCATACACAAAACAAGTTTGGCACCTATACAAAAATTAAATCTGCCAACCATACACAAAACAAGTTTGGTACCCATACAAAAAGTAAATCTGCCAACCATACACAAAATCAGTTTGGCATCCATACATAAAGGAAATCTGCCAACCATACACAAAACAAGTTTGGTACCCATACAAAAAGTAAATCTGCCAACCATACACAAAATCAGTTTGGCATCCATACATAAAGTAAATCTGTCAACCATACACAAAATAAGTTTGGCACCCATACATAAAGTAAATCTGACAACCATACACAAAACAAGTTTGGCACCTATACATAAATTAAATCTGCAAACCATACACAAAACAAGTTTGGCACCCATAGATGAAGCAAATCTGCCAACCATACACAAAACAAGTTTGGTACCCATACAAAAAGTAAATCTGCCAACCATACACAAAATCAGTTTGGCATCCATACATAAAGTAAATCTGTCAACCATACACAAAACAAGTTTGGCACCCATGCAAAAGGTAAATGTGCCAACCATACACAAAACAAGTTTGGCACCCATGCAAAAGGTAAATCTGCCAACCATACACAAACAAGTTTGGCACCCATAGATGAAGTAAATCTGCCAAACATACACAAAACAAGTTTGGCACCCATACATTAAGTAAATCTGCCAATCATACACAAAACAAGTTGGCACCTGTTCATAAAGTAAATCTGCCAACCATACACAAAACAAATTTGGCACCCATACACAAAATAAATCTGCCAACCATACACAAAATAAGTTTGGCACACATACATAAAGTAAATCTGTCAACCATACACAAAACAAGTTTGGCACCCATACAAAAAGTAAATCTGCCAACCATACACAAAACAAGGTTGGCACCCATGCAAAAGGTAAATCTGCCAACCATACACAAACAAGTTTGGCACCCATAGATGAAGTAAATCTGCCAAACATACACAAAACAAGTTTGGCACCCATACATTAAGTAAATCTGCCAATCATACACAAAACAAGTTTGGCACCTATACATAAATTAAATCTGCAAACCATACACAAAACAAGTTTGGCACCCATAGATGAAGTAAATATGCCAACCATACACAAAACAAGTTTGGCACCCATGCAAAAGGTAAATCTGCCAACCATACACAAAACAAGTTTGGCTCCCATACATAAAGTAAATCTGCCAATCATACACAAAACAAGTTTGCACCCATACATGAAGCAAATCTGCCAACCATACACAAAACAAGTTTGGCATCCACACATAAAGTAAATCTGCCAACCATACACAAAACAAGTTTGGCACCCATGCAAAAGGTAAATCTGCCAACCATACACAAAACAAGTTTGGCACCCATAGATGAAGTAAATCTGCCAACCATACACAAAACAAGTTTGGCACCCATATAAAAAAATAATAATCTGGCAACAATACACAAGAATGTGCCTGCCAACCATACACAAGCTATGTACAGCAACCATATATATCGTTAAGCCTGGTATCCATACACAAACTACCTTTGGTAACCATACACAAACTACCTTTGGTAACCATACACAAACAATATCTGGTAACTATTTACATACTATGCCCTGCAACCATATATATAAACTTCCTTGACACCATTTTTCTTTTTTTTCAGTTACACTCGATCAAAATTACTGTTCATCCTCCCAATCAGGGCGGCCAGAGAAGTTGGAACCCGGTAACAATATAGTTATTGTATGGAACGATCCTTCAGTTGAGCATTGTGGAGCATACTTCAAAGTGAGTTATGATGCAAACTTTTGTACTAAGTAAATTGAAATGTTTAGTGTAGCTGTAATTGATATTCTAGTTTAACTCTTTAGCTATATATCTGTTTGTATATTTGACTTAAAATTTATGTTTTCTTTTTAGACTTATAGGTAATGGTCTGTTAACCTATAAAACTTATATATATAAATATATAAAATGGTCTGTTTACCTAGGCGACTTATACAAGGTGGTCTGTTTCCTTATACAGGTAGTCTTATACAGATAGTCTTGTACAGATAGTCTTATACAGATAGTCCTATACAGGAAGTCTTATACAGGTAGTCTTATACAGGAAGTCTTATACAGGGAGTCTTATACAGATTGTCTTATACAGGTAGTCTTATACAGGTAGTCCTATATAGGGAGTCTTATACAGGGAGTCTTATACAGGTATTCTTATACAGGTAGTCTTATACAGGGAGTCTTATACTGAGAGTCTTATACAGGTAGTCTTATACAGGGAGTCTTATACAGGGAGACTTAATATACAAGGTGGTCTGTTTCCTTATACAGGTACTCTTATACAGATAGTCTTGTACAGGTAGTCCTATACAGATAGTCTTATACAGGGAGTCTTATACAGGGAGACTTAATATACAAGGTGGTCTGTTTCCTTATACAGGTACTCTTATACAGATAGTCTTGTACAGGTAGTCCTATACAGATAGTCTTATACAGGGAGTCTTATACAGGGAGTCTAATACGGGGAGGCTTATACATGCAGTCTTATACAGGGAGTCTTATACAGGGAGTCCTATACAGGGAGTCTTATACAGGGAGTCTTGTACAGGGAGTCTTATACAGGTAGTCCTATTTAGGGAGGCTTATACAGGGAGTCTTATACAGGGAGTCCTATACAGGGAGTCTTATACAGGGCGTCTTATGCAGGTCGTCTTATACAGGTAGTCTTATACAGGGAGTCTTATACAGGGAGTCTGATACTGGGAGTCTTATACATGTAGTCTTATACAGGGAGTCTTATACAGGGAGTCTTATACGGGGAGCCTTATACAGGTAGTCTGATACAGGGAGTCTTATACAGATAGTCATGTTTTCATGATTAAGAAATGCCTTTTTTAGATATAAGATATTTGACCACTTTTATCTATTACAATTTGTTTCTACTGTTACATACCTTTCTTGTAACTTATTTGACCACTTTTATCTATAAAAATTTGTTTCTGTTATTACATACCTGTCTTGTAACGTATTTATCTATTACAATACAATTTGGCTGTAGGGTGTAGGTGAAGACCTGCAAGACCTGTACAAGGTGTGTGTGAAAACTATATCATACAGAGTGAAGGACTGTGATGTGAAGTTAACTTACTCTGAGGGAGCCATCATTGCAAAGGTATGTGTTCCTTCAGGCTGTTGAACTGTGTTGTTTGTAACTTACTCACTGGTAGTTAGCATTACAAAGGTATGTGTTCCTTCAGGCTGTTAAACTGTGTTGTTTGTAACTTACTCTCTGGGAGTTAGCATTGCAAAGGTATGCGTTCCTTCAGACTGATGAACTGTGTTTTATGTAACTTACTCTCAGGGAGTTAGCATTACAAAGGTATGTGTTCCTTCAGGCTGTTGAACTGTGTTGTTTGTAACTTACTCGCTGGTAGTTAGCATTACAAAGGTATATGTTCCTTCAGGCTGTTAAACTGTGTTGTTTGTAACTTACTCTCTGGGAGTAAGCATTGCAAAGGTATGTGTTCCTTCAGGCTGTCATACAGGCTGTCATACTGTGCTGTATGTAACTTACTCTCAGGGAGTAAGCATTACAAAGGTATGGGTTCCTTCAGGCTTTCATACTGTCTTGTTTGTAACTTACTCTCTGGGAGTAAGCATTGCAAAGGTATGTGCCCCTTCAGGCTGTCATACAGGCTGTCATACTGGGTTGTATGTAACGTACTCTCAGGGAGTTTGCATTGCAAAGGTATGTGCCCCTTCAGGCTGTCATACAGGCTGTCATACTGTGCTGTATGTAACTTACTCTCAGGGAGTTAGCATTACAAAGGTATGTGTTCCTTCAGGCTTTCATACTGTCTTGTATGTAACTTACACTCTGGGAGTTAGCATTACAAAGGTATGTGTTCCTTCAGGCTGTCATACTGTGTTGTATGTAACTTACTCTCAGGGAGTTAGCATTTCAAAGGTATGTGTTCCTTCAGGCTGTCAAATTAATGTTGTTTGTAACTTACTCTCTGGGAGTTAGCATTGCAAAGGTATGTGTTCCTTCAGGCTGTTGAACTGTGTTGTATGTAACTTACTCTCAGGGAGTTAGCATTACAAAGGTATGTGTTCCTTCAGGCTGTCATACTGTGTTGTATGTAACTTACTCTCAGGGAGTTAGCATTACAAAGGTATGTGTTCCTTCAGGCTGTCATACTGTGTTGTATGTAACTTACTCTCAGGGAGTTAGCATTACAAAGGTATGTGTTCCTTCAGGCTGTCATACTGTGTTGTATGTAACTTACTCTCAGGGAGTTAGCATTACAAAGGTATGTGTTCCTTCAGGCTGTCATACTGTGTTGTATGTAACTTACTCTCAGGGAGTTAGCATTACAAAGGTATGTGTTCCTTCAGGCTGTCATACTGTGTTGTATGTAACTTACTCTCAGGGAGTTAGCATTACAAAGGTATGTGTTCCTTCAGGCTGTCATACTGTGTTGTATGTAACTTACTCTCAGGGAGTTAGCATTACAAAGGTATGTGTTCCTTCAGGCTGTCATACTGTGTTGTATGTAACTTACTCTCAGGGAGTTAGCATTACAAAGGTATGTGTTCCTTCAGGCTGTCATACTGTGTTGTATGTAACTTACTCTCAGGGAGTTAGCATTACAAAGGTATGTGTTCCTTCAGGCTGTCATACTGTGTTGTATGTAACTTACTCTCAGGGAGTTAGCATTACAAAGGTATGTGTTCCTTCAGGCTGTCATACTGTGTTGTATGTAACTTACTCTCAGGGAGTTAGCATTACAAAGGTATGTGTTCCTTCAGGCTGTCATACTGTGTTGTATGTAACTTACTCTCAGGGAGTTAGCATTACAAAGGTATGTGTTCCTTCAGGCTGTCATACTGTGTTGTATGTAACTTACTCTCAGGGAGTTAGCATTACAAAGGTATGTGTTCCTTCAGGCTGTCATACTGTGTTGTATGTAACTTACTCTCAGGGAGTTAGCATTACAAAGGTATGTGTTCCTTCAGGCTGTCATACTGTGTTGTATGTAACTTACTCTCAGGGAGTTAGCATTACAAAGGTATGTGTTCCTTCAGGCTGTCATACTGTGTTGTATGTAACTTACTCTCAGGGAGTTAGCATTACAAAGGTATGTGTTCCTTCAGGCTGTCATACTGTGTTGTATGTAACTTACTCTCAGGGAGTTAGCATTACAAAGGTATGTGTTCCTTCAGGCTGTCATACTGTGTTGTATGTAACTTACTCTCAGGGAGTTAGCATTACAAAGGTATGTGTTCCTTCAGGCTGTCATACTGTGTTGTATGTAACTTACTCTCAGGGAGTTAGCATTACAAAGGTATGTGTTCCTTCAGGCTGTCATACTGTGTTGTATGTAACTTACTCTCAGGGAGTTAGCATTACAAAGGTATGTGTTCCTTCAGGCTGTCATACTGTGTTGTATGTAACTTACTCTCAGGGAGTTAGCATTACAAAGGTATGTGTTCCTTCAGGCTGTCATACTGTGTTGTATGTAACTTACTCTCAGGGAGTTAGCATTACAAAGGTATGTGTTCCTTCAGGCTGTCATACTGTGTTGTATGTAACTTACTCTCAGGGAGTTAGCATTACAAAGGTATGTGTTCCTTCAGGCTGTCATACTGTGTTGTATGTAACTTACTCTCAGGGAGTTAGCATTACAAAGGTATGTGTTCCTTCAGGCTGTCATACTGTGTTGTATGTAACTTACTCTCAGGGAGTTAGCATTACAAAGGTATGTGTTCCTTCAGGCTGTCATACTGTGTTGTATGTAACTTACTCTCAGGGAGTTAGCATTACAAAGGTATGTGTTCCTTCAGGCTGTCATACTGTGTTGTATGTAACTTACTCTCAGGGAGTTAGCATTACAAAGGTATGTGTTCCTTCAGGCTGTCATACTGTGTTGTATGTAACTTACTCTCAGGGAGTTAGCATTACAAAGGTATGTGTTCCTTCAGGCTGTCATACTGTGTTGTATGTAACTTACTCTCAGGGAGTTAGCATTACAAAGGTATGTGTTCCTTCAGGCTGTCATACTGTGTTGTATGTAACTTACTCTCAGGGAGTTAGCATTACAAAGGTATGTGTTCCTTCAGGCTGTCATACTGTGTTGTATGTAACTTACTCTCAGGGAGTTAGCATTACAAAGGTATGTGTTCCTTCAGGCTGTCATACTGTGTTGTATGTAACTTACTCTCAGGGAGTTAGCATTACAAAGGTATGTGTTCCTTCAGGCTGTCATACTGTGTTGTATGTAACTTACTCTCAGGGAGCCACCATAACAAAGGTATGTGTTCCTTCAGGCTGTCATACTGTGTTGTATGTAACTTACTCTCAGGGAGCCACCATAACAAAGGTATGTGTTCCTTCAGGCTGTCATACTGTGTTGCATGTAACTTACTCTCAGGGAGTTAGCATTACAAAGTTATGTGTTCCTTCAGGCTGTTTAACTGTGTAATGTTTGTAACTTAAACACTTTTTACTTAATGACAGGGAAATATGATCCCGAAGGGGTCCAAGTTCATGTCTCAAAAGAAAAACAATACTGTTACAAGGGGTCATGAGTATAAAACTATTTAAGGATATAACGTGCCTAGAGATGAGAATGAATTCATTTTGTCACAGGACTGTTGACATCTGGAACAGCCTGTCACCAGAGATGATGTTATCAAGAACTATCAAATCTTTCGAGTCTTGCCTAGACTACCACAGGAGAAACCAACCAATACTCTATAATTATAGAGAACCAATTTGATTATCCACCCTTAGTAAATAAAGGAGCTGAATATACTTTCTGATAATTAATTGTCAAATTAATGTTGTGAACACTAATTACTCTAATTGGGAATTTATGTATAAATTACATTTTTCACTTCAACTAGTAATGATTTATGTTATTCAATTGTCCATGATTCAAAGAAATGACCTTAATCCATAGTTAATTCATATACACTGTATTGCCTTTTGTTTGTTTTAGATATATTTCGACATGTACCAGGTAGTCATTGATGATAACATCTCTTCTCAATTTATATTCAAAGTTACACAGCATACCATATAAATGTATAGTGATTATAAGTGAAGGGCAAAATTTGCTCTGAACGAATATAGTGATTAAAAAGTTATCTGGTATACAGAAATTTGTTTGTGAATTTAAAAAAATAAGATAAGGAGATACATGAATAAGTACATTCTCCAGCAATCACTACAGTGATTTCAAAAATAAATGAAGAAAAGACCTGACAACTGATTGTAATTTGTTTATTGTGGTGTGTTCCAGTCCTACTCCTGTTACAGTACCCCGTCCACCTGGTGCACAGAACCTGGGTCTAAACTCATTATACGACTCAAAAAGCCATCCAGTCTGTTTGATGACCTCCTCCCGGATGTGTTTAAACCAGCAACAGCATCACTGACACTAGAAGTGTACACCGAGGCAGTATATACCGTAGGCAGTACGTGTTACTAATATTATAGAAATATTGTTCTTTCTTATTTAATTGTTGTCAGTAATGAAATATAGTGATCTGCCAGTTTGAAATGGCATCACTTAAAGGAAGTTGATAATAAATTTTGAAAATCGACAAATTAGACCTTTCAATTTCTATAAATTTTATTGTCAAAGGACAAATGGATTGGGCAGCAGGCATAGCTATTTAAGCCCTCTCCAAACATAGTAACAAGCAGTGGTACAAGCATAGACATAGACATTCGAACACATACAAACACATAGAAACAAGTTGGTATTATCAAATTAATAATCAAATTAGGGGAAACAACTACTTATACCCATTTTCATTATAATTGAATCTAATGGATTAAACTTAAATTCAGATCTTTTACATGAAAACTATCAAAGCCAGACTAGAATTTAATGTTCATGATACAATGTAGCATAAAGAAATTATGAACATTTGCTTAAATATTAATCTATTATTGTTATATCCATATAAGTATAAGTATAAGGGGATATTTTTTATTTACAATAGAAACTGTGTTTTGTAAGCAGTGATTAATGGTTGATAAATGTTATTATCAAACATTAAATTAGCCATCCAAATTTACATCAGAAGTTAGAATACCAGATGAGAAGCACTGTTTCAGTTGCCTAATTGATGTGTATTACCCTATTTTCAGCCTATGCTAAGCTGGGTACGATCATAGGAGCAGCAGGAGGTGGTTTAATTGGGTTGGTTATTATCATCATATTTGTGGTGTGTATTGTCCAGCACATGAGAAGTAAAAGGAAACAACGTGATGAGACTGACAATAATCAGGATTTGGCCATGTCACAGCGAACAGACCAACCAAGAGTCAGCGACAGTCTGATTTCTCCGTCCTCTGTACCGGGCTCAGTCAACGTTAATATAGACGGAGATGTATATAAGTCAGGTGAGTCAATAAAGACATGGAAAGGTAATGTTCAAACAGAAACTGTTAACAAGCAAGAGTCAGCGACCGTCTGATATCTCCTTCTGTACCGAGCTCAGTCAACGTTAATATAGACGGAGATGTATATTCTGTCTTTGCGTATTGCAGAGTTATCTTCTCTTAAGAGCAGGTATGGATTGTTACGTCATTTGTTTGTCAGAATAACGTCATCAATTTTTGAAAAAAAATGACGTTCATCACACAACAAATGACGTAACAATCAATACCTGCTAACAAGAGAAGATAACTCTGCAATACGCAATATTAGTATACACTATTACCTTCAGGTTTATTATATTTGTATGAGTCATGCTTATTATCTATCATTGTTTGAATGCAGATCCTGCCGACCTTCCTCCTCCTTCCTATGATAAAGTTATGGCTTTTGAGGCAGACGAATCAAGGGTGACAACATAACTATGGTTACATCACCATGGTCACATCACCATGGTCACATAACCACGGTAACATGGTCATGTTACCATGGTTGCATCACAAAAGTCATTACCATGATTACATCAACATGGTCACATTTGATTGGTTACATCGCCAAAGTCATGTAACAATGGTTACATTTCCAAGAACTCATTACCATGGTTACATCTCCAAGGACACATCACCATGGTAATATCTCCAAGGTCTCATCACCATGGTAATATCTCCAAGGACTCATCACCATGGTTACATCCCAAAGGACTCATCACCATGGTTACATCCCAAAGGACTCATCACCATGGTTACATCCCAAAGGACTCATCCCTATGGTTACATCTCCAAGGTTCATCACCATGGTTACATCCCAAAAGACTCATCACCATGGTTACATCCCAAAGGACTCATCACCATATGGTTACATCTCCAAGGACTTATCACCATGGTTACATTTTTAATGACTCATCACCATGGTTACATCCCAAAGGACTCATCACCATGGTTACATCCCAAAGGACTCATCACCATGGTTACATCCCAAGGACTCATCACCATGGTTACATAACCATGGCTACATCATCATGACTACATTACATGGTATCTTATAGTTTGGTATTTAAAAGGATTGTTGTATTGATCCTCAATCCACTAGTTTTATCAAGTTAAAGATACTACCTGGTAGTTGAGTGTGAAATTTGCCTTTTGTTTAGCCGGTATTCCTAACATTAATTATTTATATTATAAAGAGTTGTCAGCTGGATTATTGTGAAACTAAGAAATGGAATGGGGGGTTGGTCAATGGTCAGCTGATAACAAGTCAATACCTTTAAACCCTAGTGGAAAAGAAGAAACAGCTTCTAATACCTAGATTGTAGTTTATAATTGGTCTGAAAACATTTATATATTTTAACATCCAAATGGGTATAGGGTACAGATTTTTAGCTGCTTCAGTTCTGCTGTAAGAAAGTTTTCAGATCCCAAAAATAAATTTTATATGCATAACATTGTGTTTATATGACAGTTATATATGGATATGTGAATGGTTATTTTGCTGTATTGGTAAATATGTCTGTATATATGTAATGGACAAATATGTCTGTATATATGTAATGGACAAATGTGTCTGTATATTTGTAATGGACAAATGTGTCTGTATATTTGTAATTGATCAATATTTCTATGGATGCTTAAATCTGTATATATACTGTCTGTTCTCTTTAACATATTTATTAATTTGAAATCATGGGGTGTATATATTTACTTGGAGTTTAATTGACCCAGTGTATATATAATAACAGACTGGTTCTAAACGTGAACACATATTTCTTAAATCAAAGTTTCACTTGTAGATTTGTGCTTTTTGCTAGGAAATAGGAAGCATTTCTTACAATTTCTGTCACGAGAAATATATTTAGCCTTTCATGATAAAGGTATATGAATTATAGGACACATACAAGATAGGTTTTACAATTTGTGTTAGAGGTATAAGATACCAACATGTTTTGATGTAGTTTATTTTCAGCAGTGAGGTGATTGTATAGACATGTCATGTATTTTCATAAGGTTATTGAAATATTAGAAAAAAATACTAAATTATATTTTTATGTATTAAACAGAATTATTTTTTATTGATTTCCTCAAGACTTATCATATGAATGTGATGTGATCCTTGATTTTTTTGCTTGTGATTTTTTCAATGTTTTCTCGGGATCCAATTTGCATGTCACCTTTTGGGTCGTTCATCATGGGCTCCTATTTCAGGGTCACATGATCAGTATGTGGTTGTTTTGTGATTGTCACATGATCTACTTTAAAGCCGTTATTTTCTGTTGTGTTTAGAAGTAGGTTGTAATATCTTTAACCCTGTTGTGAAATAATTATAAAAGATACACTAAGTGGGGACGTTTTATGCTGCCTACTTGCCTTATAATATTAGAGATCTGAATATTTCCTACCATTATATATAAAACTTTACAAAACTGATGCGTATGAATACAACATGAGGTCAGATTATTTTTATAAGTCATATGTTCCATCACTTCCACCATGCTGGGTTACAAAATGTTTACTCTGACATTTTTATACCCCCCTTTCCCCACTTAGGTCTGCCCCGTTCTGACATTTTTGCACCCCCCTTTCCCCACTTAGGTCTGCCCCGTTCTGACATTTTTGCACCCCCCTTTCCCCACTTAGGTCTGCCCCGTTCTGACATTTTTGCACCCCCCTTTCCCCACTTAGGTCTGCCCCGTTCTGACATTTTTGCACCCCCCTTTCCCCACTTAGGTCTGCCCCGTTCTGACATTTTTGCACCCCCCTTTCCCCACTTAGGTCTGCCCCGTTCTGACATTTTTGCACCCCCCTTTCCCCACTTAGGTCTGCCCCGTTCTGACATTTTTGCACCCCCCTTTCCCCACTTAGGTCTGCCCCGTTCTGACATTTTTGCACCCCCCTTTCCCCACTTAGGTCTGCCCCGTTCTGACATTTTTGCACCCCCCTTTCCCCACTTAGGTCTGCCCCGTTCTGACATTTTTGCACCCCCCTTTCCCCACTTAGGTCTGCCCCGTTCTGACATTTTTGCACCCCCCTTTCCCCACTTAGGTCTGCCCCTTTCTGACATTTTTACACCCCCCTTTCCCCACTTAGGTCTGCCCCTCTGTTCGTGCATCTGTGTGACTTTTGGTAGTAGAGTACTGGTGTACGAGATATATCTCGCGGACAGTTTTAGTTGATATTTACATGATAGTATGGTTACATCAAGTTCTGCACCAGATTTATCTCGCGGACAGATTTAGTTGATTTTTACATGATAGTATGGTTACATCAAGTTCTGCACCAGATATATCTCGCGGACAGATTTAGTTGATATTTACATGATAGTATGGTTACATCAAGTTCCGCACCAGATATATCTCGCGGACAGATTTAGTTGATATTTACATGATAGTATGGTTACATCAAGTTCTGCACATGATTTGATTTTGTTTGTAATCTGTTAAGGCTATAAAGTGTCGACATAAAAGGTCCTACTTGAGGGGGATATATCTGTATGAGCCCCTTCTTAACTACTCAGTTTTTGACACATGCGTTAGGTAACGCAGGTGTCTAGGGGATCGAGCGTACTACGCAGGTTAATTTGTTTGGTGTAGAATTGCAGAAGTAGCTCCTTCTATGTCCTTATATTTTGGCTACGATACTTGATAAACAGGACAAAGCCAAGTGAATGTGCTGCGTGAGGATTGATCTGTAGATCTCACACAGACTGTGTAATTAGTTTGTAATATATTGATATCTTCTTTGTTATATATATTGATATGCCTTGTGTTATATATTGAGGTAATTTTAATTTTAAGTGCCAGTTTGAGTTGATATTTAACCTTTTGACAAAACGTATGAAATATTTATGACTTTTTTTTTGTGAGAAGAATTGAAAAAGCATTATCTAATTGTTATGTGCCCCAAACAGAGTGGCGCGACTTAACATTTTTATAAGTATTCTTAGTAGCTCCGTTATTAATTTAAATATTAAAAAAGGAAATACTTCAAAAACTCTGAATATTCATAAAATTATGACGTTTATGATCATGACGTCCCGATGAGTTTACAAAACTAGATTAGTATACCAGTAAAACATAGTAATCACATCTCCGCCCACTTCTCCATATGGAGAGAAAATAACACTACATATAGTTCTAGTCATTTAGTGAGTATCATTTCAATATAACGTCATTGTACTTCATATTGAACATTAAAATGATGTAATGATGTGATAAACGTACGTAACAAACCTGATAATGAAAATATCAATAAATACATATAGCATTGGTGATATAATAAAATGTTACTAATTATAAACAAATCTAGCTTTGGTGACATAAACAAGAAAATACATCAAACATTGATGACAATTAAATGTTACTATCAATTAAATACATCTAGTATTGGTAACACAATCAAATGTTACTATTAATAAAATATATCTAGTATTGGTAACACAATCAAATGTTACTATGATTAAATATATGTAGTATTGGTAACACAATCAAATGTTACTATTAATAAACTATCTTTCCTTACCATTAGATAATATCATCTCTGCAATGTACTCGGTATTAAAACTTGTTTGTCACGTGTCTATTTACACTCAGGTTTTACGCCAACAGTTTCCCAAATTTGAAGGGCAAATTCAGGAATTAAATAATCTTAAGTATATCAATTCCATATTATGTAAATTATGATATTTATATTGAAAAGTCAGGGTTGTGTTCAATTGGAGGGCCCATCCGGCTTATAAATCAGCCAGTAAATTGGGGTCATTGAAAATGGAAGCCCGAACCACCACTTGGAAACATAGAACGAAAAGCTATAAGATAAAATGACCTTACTTTTGAGGATGGTTTTTAAGAATGATCAGTTCCAAGTTTATTCTCATTTCCGTGACATACGATATACTATATACTTTGTCCAAGGTTTATTGGTTCAGCTACTCCATGTCATTGAAATGCATTATATTACTATACCTTTATCTTATAAAACAGCATTAAATGAAATTAAAGTTAACAGGTGAGAGACTGACTTATAATAAAATATATTTAAAAAAATTCTATGACAGACATGACCATGTCAATTTAACTATTTTTATCACACCTCTTCTATATAAACTTTATTTATTTTACAACAATTATGAAACAAGTTATTTAAACTTATATTAATCAATCTTGTTGGCACGGATATAAGAGCGCAGGGGGTCTTAATGTGGGAGGAAACCGGAGTACCTGGAGAAAACCCACGTAGTCAAGGCAGGTCACCCCATATCTTTTCACCCCATATCTTTCTGGTGAAAGGCAAGTGCCACCTGACCTTTTCTCACAAGAACATGTAACAACAATTTTTTCCCGTGCTTTGGAGTGTTAAGTTGGTTCTTACGGCCTGTTTGTTAGGATTGGGGTTAGAGTTAAGGTTGAAATGTATCAATCTAAATTACGTTGGCCAAATAAATCATCCTCTGCTTTTTTTTTAAAACTAGAACAAGAACATTGATGTAGAATTAAAAATACTAATATTTATTTTACGACACAGAGCAACTCGCCCTTAAATAAAAAATAGTAGTGAATCATTTGTATGACAACTTATTTCCATTTTTGTGTGAAACAAGCTGGTTCTTTCAAGATGAGTAAGATAGCTTGGACCATTTTGGTTTTGTACCTGGTGTAAACACAATCTACTTTGTGACACCTAGGATTATATTTTCTCTCTTTCGTGGTAGGTGAAAAGAAATCCTGAAGATGTAATTAACCGTGTGGTGCTCTGCTAAGTAAATCTGTATAATGATGGTAAGACATGAAGACCAATGGTTAGGGTATCGGTAAGAAAATCTTCTGATTTTGTTCAAAATATTTTAGATTTATGCTTATACATTCCTTGTTATACCCATCTCGTGTATCTACATTTATAGATGACTTTTCCAGCGTTAAAACAACCCAATGAACCGTTCAAGATGTCAATCAAAGAGAAAGCAATCGAGAAGTACTGATAATGTGCTAATTTTAATTTGTATAAGATCGAGAGTTGTATATCAGTTGTATTATTTACCTCCATAATGATGATTCTGACAGAACCGGTATGTTCTAAAATATTCCATACTATATGGTTAGTGTGTTCTCGTAGAACCTATCGTTTTAGATGCTTTGTAGTACTTAATAGGATGAGCACAACAACTTACTAACGAGCAATACGATTTGGAAAGGGTAAATGTCATTCTTTTTTTATGCTGATATTGCTGTCCATTTGAAGTTACACATACTTGTTGGAGAATGGAGAATGCCATAAATTTTTCGAAATATATTTCGTGAAATTAAAATCACCACCCCAACAAAAAAATATAAGACATTAGGGATTCCAGTTGGTTTGCATTTTTGTTTTTATTTCGTCATTCCAAGGAACAAATATTACCATGTTATCCTACTGTCATACCCTCGTTACAGGACATGTGAAGGTAGGCGTGTCTGTGACGCTACCGTTGTTACAAGACATGTGAAGGTAGGCGTGTCTGTGTCGCTACCCTCGTTACAGGACATGTGAAGGTAGGCGTGTCTGTGACGCTACCGTTGTTACAAGACATGTGAAGGTAGGCGTGTCTGTGACGCTACCCTCGTTACAGGACATGTGAAGGTAGGCGTGTCTGTGAAGCTACCGTCGTTACAAGACATGTGAAGGTAGGCGTGTCTGTGACGCTACCCTCGTTACAGGACATGTGAAGTTAGGTGTGTCTGTGACGCTACCTCGTACCAACACATGTCAAGGTAGGCGTATGGGCCATCATACAGAGACATGTTAAGGTAGGCGTATGGGCCATCATACAGAGACATGTTAAGGTGGGCATGTCTGTGACATTACCGTCGTACCAACACATGTCAAGGTAGGTGTATGGGCCATCATACAAAGACATGTTAATGAAGGCAGGTCTGCCAGTGTGCGAGAATAAATGACCTCGTGTACATAAAATAAATCATATTTTAATTGTTATTTATATGCATGTTTGATTAATAAACTTTTAAAACTCATTGGCAAATAACTCTTGTTTTTTATAAGCTCAACTGTCCGAAGGGCTAGTAGGCTTTTGCCATGGCACGGTGTCTGTCGTCCCTCCGTTGTTGTCCATTAATTTTCCATTGAACGACTTCTTCTTAAGAATGGACAGGCCTAGAATCATGATATCTGGGTGATAGCTTCGTTGGCAAGAGTCCAACAAAATTTGAGAACGAAAATGACTATGACCTACTATCAAGGTCACAAGGGTCAAAGGTGTCAAATACTTAAAACAATTTCTTCTGAAGAACTGAAAGGTATATAATTTTGATATATGGCTGGTAGCATTATTGGTAAGAGCACAAATAAGTTTAATAACAAAAATTACGTTGACACTCTTTTCAAGGTCACGGGGTTCAAACGTGTCAAACACTTGAAACGAATAGTCTGAAGAACTGAAAAGTATAGAATCTTAATATTTTGCTAGAAGCTTTTTTGGAAAGGGCCCGACAAAGTTTGAGAATGACATTGACCTACTATCAAGGTCACAGGGGTCAAATATGTCAAATGCTTAAAACTACTCCTGAAGAACTGAAAGTTACAGAATCTTAATATATGGCTGGTGGTTTCTGGAGCCCAACAAAGTTTGCAATTAAAAATGACTTTGTACTACTATCAATGTCACAGAGGTAAAATATGTCAAACACTTAAAACGACCTCTGCTGCAAAACTGGAACGTATAAATCTTAAAATTGTCTGGTAGCTTTTTTGGATAGAACCCAACAAAGTTTGAGAATGACCTTGACCTATTGTCATGGTCACAGGGGTCAAATATATCAAATACTTTAGGATTGAGAATGAAAATTACCTTTACCCATATTCAAGGTCACAGGTGTCAAATATGTCGAACTTATCAAATGACTTCTGAATAATTGAAATGCATAGAATCATATTATTTGACTGGTTGCTTTTTGGGATTGAGACCGACAAAGTTTGCTTTTGTAAATTACCTCGACCTTCATTCAAGGTCACAAACTGCAAACAACTTCTTTTGAAGAATTGAAATGCATGGAGTCGTGGTATTTATCATGTAGCTTCCTTAGATGGAGACCAACACAGTTTGTGAATGAAATTGACCTTTACCTACTTTATCCTATAGCTTTATCTTAATCTAATTTGATATATAAGGCCCAACATGATTTTTGCTTTGACTGCTTAAATATCCAGGTGAGCAATACAGGCCCTCTGTGCCTCTTTTTTTTTAAAGTAACCTCAGAGTACTGAGTCAATATCAGCCGTTTTAAGTGCATGTTATGCAGGTTTAAAGCAAAGCTAGTACCTCTGCATTGCATATCTGAAAAAAAGTGTTCGAGGTGTTAACAAAATCACAATTCGAACTAACTAACTAACAAGCAATTAACATATTTATAATAATTTTCACATAACACATTTTTTCTTAACATTTTCCTCAGGTTGGTAAGTATGGATTATGTAAAGTTCTTTTTACACAACCAATCCCATTGTCTATGTGACGTTTCTATGACTAGTACGATATGTACACTGTCACTTTCGTCAGGCAAATTACCAGTGAAGCGTATGCACACAAAGGTGTAAAATGTGTACGAGTTGTCCACAAAATCGATGTTGATTTTGGCTACGCTGTAAGCGTAGTTGTTTTATGTACCAAAATGATTCGATTCAGCTACGCTTTGTTTAATACTTGATCATAGATGTGCGGGAGTCTTTGAGCCCTCTCGTCTCGATTTAGAACCGGCCCACTGCGGCGTATCCAGATGGCTTCCTTTATCTGCCGCTTGAACAGATTGCTCTAAATGTCCAAAACTTTGGAGTTATCCCAGTCAATCACTTGATTTTTCTGTGTGGCATGGTCTGTCATTGCCGATTTATTTAACTGGGACTCCGACTGCATACTTTCTGATCTGGTGAATTTCCTACCTTCTTGGGTTTCTGTATCTTTTCGGTGTTCACCAAGGCGGACCCCAAATCGCCTTCCAGTCTCTCCAATATACGACGCGTCGCAGTTTTTGCATCCGATTTTGTATACGTAATCTGCGACGTTTTCTTTAGGTGTTTTATACTTGTACTAGGATATTACGGAGCGTCTTGTGGGCTTCATGGCTGTTGCTATGCCATGACTGCGATATATCCTCTGGGTGGTTTCGGATATACCGTTTATATACGGGATGACCACTTGACCTTTGTTTTTGTTCTTATCCTTGATTGGCCTTTTCTTGTTCTTCTCCTTACTTTGACACTGTTTTTGTACCCGTTTTAGGGCCCATTCCGGATATGTTCTCATTGTCCTATATGATTCTGCTCTTGTGTTTTGTCCTGTTGTTCTGTGATTATTGTATCACATCTGTTGAGCAATGTGCGTACGACGCCTAACTTCTGGTGCAAATGATGGTGAGATTTGAAGTTCAGGTATTGGTCCATATGTTTTTTTTTTCTATAGACCGATACCCTCACGGTTCCGTCTTCTTAATAATTTTACCAGTAGAGTGTCTAGGAAGGGCATTGTGCCATTGGTTTCTTCCTCACGTTTAAATTTGGTGTTGATATGTGTGGTCAAATCCTTCTGTCACCCCTTCTTGATTATCTCAAGTATGTCGTCAAATATCGTTTCAATAAGCTGGGCTTACATTCTATGGTGGCAGTGGCTATTGCTTCTTGCTCCAGATGTTCCATGAACAAATTGGCCACAATGGAAAACACTGGACTACCCATAGCAGTGCGGAAATATGTTGTCGCCAGCACAAATTCCAGCAAATCCATGATGTCCTGAATCTGGAGATTTGTATTTTTGCGCCAGGATCTGTCTAATTCTAAGTGTTTCCGAATGATTCTAAGTGCGTCGTCAATGGGTGTGTTGGTAAAGAGAGAGACAACAGCATGTGAAATAAATTCTTCGTCTTCCTGAATTATGATGGTAGACAGCTTCCGGTAGATGTTTCGAATTCTTTACATGATGTTCCGATTTACCCACTAGCGGTCCAAGAATGTCTGCTAATGATCTGCAAACATCGTAACCATGGAACCAGTGTAGTCCACAGTAGGCCTCAGTGGGTTTCTCTGCTTGTGGATCTTGGGTGTACAGTACATTCTAGGAGTGTTCTATGGCTGTGCGATACAGATATCTGTATTGGCCTTCGGTAATATTGCTCTCTTGTTATAATGTTGACAGGAGGGCTATGAGACGCATTTTAAACTTTTGAGTTGGATTGGTCTGCAGCTGTTCATATGTCTTGTCGGACAGAGAACAATCTGTTCAAGCGGGAGATAAAGGAAGCCATCTGTATTTCGGTACATATAACAACTATTGTACATACGCTTACAGAGTAGCCAAAATCGACATCGATTTTGTGGGCAACTCGTACACTCATTTGCCTGACGAAAGTGACAGTGTACATATCGTACTAGCCATCGAAACGTCACATAGACAATGTTATTGGTTGTATAAAAAGAACTTTTCATAATTCACATTACACATATTTTCCCATCGGAATGAAATAGCCGAAAGTGCAATACAATTACAAAGTGTTAAGTTGGAATACCACAACACATAGTAATACATATTTACTAATATAATTAATTTCTGTTTATAATAGACAATGGACCAGCTAGACGCACATAAGATGATGACTAGGAAAGAAATATTACATAATTTTTGCGTAGGAGGGATCAACACATGCGTTATCACAGGTATGATACTTTGACATCAACTATGTCGTAACGGTTAACCTACTTATATATACATAGGATGCATACTTACTTGATATATCGACCCTCCGATAACACAGTTACATGTAAATCTTCTTAATCGGTGATTTCTACGTACTAGCACACAAGAACCATCAAACAGCGGTGATAATAGGGTCACAGGTCACAACTCGTGGGTGTATCTCACGGACCTCGACATCAGTTACATATACCCACTCTGTGTTCACATACCCAGGACAAACAGGTACTAGTAACTTATACAGTATCTATCAGGATCATATACAGGTAACAGTAACTTATACAGTATATATCAGGATCATATACAGGTACCAGTAACTTATACTGTATATATCAGGATCATATACAGGTAACAGTACCTTATACAGTATCTATCAGGATCATATAAAGGTAACAGTAACTTATACAGTATCTATCAGGATAATATAAAGGTAACAGTAACTTATACAGTATCTATCAGGATCATATACAGGTACCAGTAACTTATACAGTATCTATCAGGATCATATACAGGTAACAGTACCTTATACAGTATCTATCAGGATCATATACAGGTAACAGTAACTTATACAGTATCTATCAGGATCATATACAGGTAACAGTAACTTATACAGTATCTATCAGGATCATATACAGGTAACAGTAACTTATACAGTATCTATCAGGATCATATACAGGTAACAGTAACTTATACAGTATCTATCAGGATCATATACAGGTAACAGTAACTTATACAGTATCTATCAGGATCATATACAGGTAACAGTAACTTATACAGTATCTATCAGGATCATATACAGGTAACAGTAACTTATACAGTATCTATCAGGATCATATACAGGTAACAGTAACTTATACAGTATCTATCAGGATCATATACAGGTAACAGTAACTTATACAGTATCTATCAGGATCATATACAGGTAACAGTAACTTATACAGTATCTATCAGGATCATATACAGGTAACAGTAACTTATACAGTATCTATCAGGATCATATACAGGTAACAGTAACTTATACAGTATCTATCAGGATCATATACAGGTAACAGTAACTTATACAGTATCTATCAGGATCATATACAGGTAACAGTAACTTATACAGTATCTATCAGGATCATATACAGGTAACAGTAACTTATACAGTATCTATCAGGATCATATACAGGTAACAGTAACTTATACAGTATCTATCAGGATCATATACAGGTAACAGTAACTTATACAGTATCTATCAGGATCATATACAGGTAACAGTAACTTATACAGTATCTATCAGGATCATATACAGGTAACAGTAACTTATACAGTATCTATCAGGATCATATACAGGTAACAGTAACTTATACAGTATCTATCAGGATCATATACAGGTAACAGTAACTTATACAGTATCTATCAGGATCATATACAGGTAACAGTAACTTATACAGTATCTATCAGGATCATATACAGGTAACAGTAACTTATACAGTATCTATCAGGATCATATACAGGTAACAGTAACTTATACAGTATCTATCAGGATCATATACAGGTAACAGTAACTTATACAGTATCTATCAGGATCATATACAGGTAACAGTAACTTATACAGTATCTATCAGGATCATATACAGGTAACAGTAACTTATACAGTATCTATCAGGATCATATACAGGTAACAGTAACTTATACAGTATCTATCAGGATCATATACAGGTAACAGTAACTTATACAGTATCTATCAGGATCATATACAGGTAACAGTAACTTATACAGTATCTATCAGGATCATATACAGGTAACAGTAACTTATACAGTATCTATCAGGATCATATACAGGTAACAGTAACTTATACAGTATCTATCAGGATCATATACAGGTAACAGTAACTTATACAGTATCTATCAGGATCATATACAGGTAACAGTAACTTATACAGTATCTATCAGGATCATATACAGGTAACAGTAACTTATACAGTATCTATCAGGATCATATACAGGTAACAGTAACTTATACAGTATCTATCAGGATCATATACAGGTAACAGTAACTTATACAGTATCTATCAGGATCATATACAGGTAACAGTAACTTATACAGTATCTATCAGGATCATATACAGGTAACAGTAACTTATACAGTATCTATCAGGATCATATACAGGTAACAGTAACTTATACAGTATCTATCAGGATCATATACAGGTAACAGTAACTTATACAGTATCTATCAGGATCATATACAGGTAACAGTAACTTATACAGTATCTATCAGGATCATATACAGGTAACAGTAACTTATACAGTATCTATCAGGATCATATACAGGTAACAGTAACTTATACAGTATCTATCAGGATCATATACAGGTAACAGTAACTTATACAGTATCTATCAGGATCATATACAGGTAACAGTAACTTATACAGTATCTATCAGGATCATATACAGGTAACAGTAACTTATACAGTATCTATCAGGATCATATACAGGTAACAGTAACTTATACAGTATCTATCAGGATCATATACAGGTAACAGTAACTTATACAGTATCTATCAGGATCATATACAGGTAACAGTAACTTATACAGTATCTATCAGGATCATATACAGGTAACAGTAACTTATACAGTATCTATCAGGATCATATACAGGTAACAGTAACTTATACAGTATCTATCAGGATCATATACAGGTAACAGTAACTTATACAGTATCTATCAGGATCATATACAGGTAACAGTAACTTATACAGTATCTATCAGGATCATATACAGGTAACAGTAACTTATACAGTATCTATCAGGATCATATACAGGTAACAGTAACTTATACAGTATCTATCAGGATCATATACAGGTAACAGTAACTTATACAGTATCTATCAGGATCATATACAGGTAACAGTAACTTATACAGTATCTATCAGGATCATATAAAGGTAACAGTAACTTATGCAGTATCTATCAGGATCATATACAGGTAACAGTACCTTATATAGTATCTATCAGGATCATATACAGGTACCAGTAACTTATACAGTATATATCAGGATCATATACAGGTACCAGTACCTTATACAGTATCTAACAGGACCATATACAGGTAACAGTACCTTATACAGTATCTATCAGGATCATATACAGGTACCAGTAACTGATGCAGTATATATCAGGATCATATACAGGTACCAGTGACTTATACAGTATATATCAGGACCATATAAAGGTAACAGTAACTTATACAGTATCAGTACCTTATACAGTATCTAACAGGACCATGTACAGGTAACAGTACCTTATAAAGTATCTAACAGGACCATATACAGATAACAGTACCTTATACAGTATGTAGCAGGATCATATAAAGGTAACAGTAACCTATACAGTATATATCAGGATCATATAATGGTAACAGTACCTTATACAGTATCAATCAGGATCATATAAAGGTAACAGTAACTTATACAGTATATATCAGGACCATATACAGGTAACAGTACCTTATACAGTATCTAACAGGACCATATAAAGGTAACAGTAACTTATACAGTATCTATCAGGATCATATACAGGCAACAGTAACTTATACAGTATATATCAGGACCATATACAGGTAACAGTAACTTATACAGTATCTATCAGGAGCATATACAGGTAACAGTACCTTATACAGTATATATCAGGATCATATACAGGTACCAGTAACTTATACAGTATATATCAGGACCATATACAGGTACCAGTAACTTATACAGTATATATCAGGACCATATAAAGGTAACAGTAACTTATACATTATCTATCAGGATCATATACAGTTAACAGGAACTTATACAGTATATATCAGGACCATATACAGGTACCAATAACTTATACAGTATCTATCAGGATCATATAAAGGTAACAGTACCTTATACAGTATCTATCAGGATCATTTAAAGGTAACAGTAACTTATACAGTATCTATCAGGATCATATAAAGGTAACAGTACCTTATACAGTATCTAACAGGACCATATACAGGTAACAGTACCTTATACAGTATATATCAGGATCATATAAAGGTAACAGTAAATTATACAGTATCTATCAGGATCATATACAGGGAACAGTAACTTATACAGTATATATCAGGATCATATACAGGTACCAGTAACTTATACAGTATATATCAGGATCATATAAAGGTAACATTAACTTATACAGTATATATCAGGACCATATACAGGTACCAGTAACTTATACAGTATATATCAGGATCATATAAAGGTAACATTAACTTATACAGTATATATCAGGACCATATACAGGTAACAGTACCTTATACAGTATATAACAGGACCATATAAAGGTAACAGTAACTTATACATTATCTATCAGGATCATATACAGTTAACAGGAACTTATACAGTATATATCAGGACCATATAAAGGTAACAGTAACTTATACATTATCTATCAGGATCATATACAGTTAACAGGAACTTATACAGTATATATCAGGACCATATACAGGTAACAGTACCTTATACAGTATCCATATACAGGTAACAGTACCTTATACAGTATATAACAGGACCATATAAAGGTAACAGTAACTTATACATTATCTATCAGGATCATATACAGTTAACAGGAACTTATACAGTATATATCAGGACCATATACAGGTACCAGTAACTTATACAGTATATATCAGGACCATATAAAGGTAACAGTAACTTATACATTATCTATCAGGATCATATACAGTTAACAGGAACTTATACAGTATATATCAGGACCATATAAAGGTAACAGTAACTTATACATTATCTATCAGGATCATATACAGTTAACAGGAACTTATACAGTATATATCAGGACCATATACAGGTACCAGTAACTTATACAGTATATATCAGGACCATATACAGGTACCAGTAACTTATACAGTATATATCAGGACCATATACAGGTAACAGTAACTTATACAGTATATATCAGGATCATATACACGTGCCAGTAACTTATACTGTATCTATCAGGATCATACAACGAATTTTTAATTTTAAAAACAAACTGTTGTAGAAGCGAGTTCGGTCACTTTTTACAATTTTAATAGAAACCACCAGCGTTAGTATCCTTTCAGGCTACCTCTAACAGGTGCTATCAGTGTTATTGGAATTGTTAACAATCTACTTTTTACAACGTGGTTTAGTCGCTGATATAGATGTCATAAAAATATAATGATATACATATGCTTTTATTAGTGATATTCTTTGTAGATTGAAGTGTTCGTGTATGACACAACCATGAAGGACATGTGGTCACTGATGGTGTTCGTCTTTCTGGCCGGGAACGTCATGGCCTCCACAACCACCTGTATGTATACCTTTTCGTCTTTTTTTTTTGTGGTATTGTTTTACGACCCACAGACAATTTAAGCCATTTGGGGCCAGATGCATTGATACCACCCTGTATACCTATAGAGATAAGTCATGCCGATAGTCTGCTGATGTTATATTATACTTGATTACATGTAGCACAGTAAACGCTCTTTCCTCGTGATCACCTCTCAAATCATTGTCGTGTTCACTGCGCGAATTAAAGTTATTCCTTGTGTTGACGCTGTAGTGTTTGTATTTGTTTCTGTTTTATTTTTATTGGTTTATCTATATATTAAAGATCGGTTTTTAAATGACTGTGATTTCCACCTCCACACCCTGGGCGACAGTGATGCAGCTTTAGTGAGATTTACAGGCTACCGACTTCCGAGTTCAAACTGCAGCATTGGCTTCCAGAGTATAAGCACGGCACACTCTGTCTGTGTGGTCAGTCGACCACCTTTCACCCTGAACGTGTTTGGACCGACCCTTATACTATCGCAGGGGGATGGACAGGTGAACAGCAAAGTAAGGACTATCCCCCCCCCCCCCCCCCCCCCAAAACAAAAAATTCACCTAAAAAAACTTCATATTGCAGAAATACTTACCATTATCACCAATCGACATGTCGAAGGTACACTATTGACCACTGCAATATTACACCAGATTTAAGGAGGTAGTAGTGGTTATTCCTCAGACAATTTGGTGCCAGAGAACGAGAGACCGATCCCTGTCCTTATAGAGACCTCCTGTTACAGCAGGAATATTTGAACCTATTTTGAGGTGGAAATAGTAATATTAGACGTGTGCAAGGGTTATATCAACAGTCGGTTTTACAAAACACCCGAGATAATGGTATATTCGAAAAGGATGGACCGCGCTCGATGTAAAAAAAGTCAACCCCACCGTAATTTTCCATTAACTATCTTGTGTCCGAAGCAACATTAGTTGTAGCCCGAGTTTCCTCTGGCCCTGGCACCAGGCTTACACATTTTGACAGATAGATGTCTGTTGTGTCTTAGTCTGGTGTCAGGGCCAGAGGATGCTTCTTTCTATCGTTCATATTTCTTGGTGCAAACTATTCACTATAACATGTAAAATATTTCTAAAAAACAATCCTTTATTATTTGAGTAACAAAAGAAGAAAAATCTGATTTAGTTGTCAATGACCCCGTAACTTGCGTTGTTGTAGCATATTTTAGTCTCCCTTTGTACGTCATGGTGGTAGTACAAGCGATATCCGGAAGTTTCCGGATGGCTGCATTTTCCAATGAAATTTTTGGTACCTCGACCATTACTGTTATCCAGTATTTTAATAATACAGTGTTATCAGTATTACCGTTTAGAACATTTCTGCAGTTTCACGTTAAATGTTCAAATCATGGGTTGCACCTCTGATTCTAATTATTTTAGTTATGATATTATATATTCGCAGAGCTAGTTCTAGTATAGCTGTTTGTTTGTTTGAGTTAACGGCTCATCAACAACTATGGTCATTTATGGGGCAACCATTTGAAAAAAATAAAATAAAAATAATATATAACCTTGTATATCTTTAAAAATATGTTATGATGTAATGCAATATTTTTAAAGATATACAAGGTTTTATATATCATGATAGGCTTGGAAACTTAGAATAGTGTCAGTAGGTAAAAAATATAAAAATAAAGTGAAAAATATCGTGTAAAAGATCTGGAAGGATCTTTGATATAAGATCTACATTTGTAGTACAGTTCCTTCCTATTGTGCTTCTGTTCAGATCAATGTAGTGTCTCTGTCTTTTCCTGTTCATACTTCTATAAATATCCTGGTCAATGGTGGATTTTGAACGTAACACTACCAGACGGGATGAGATCTTTTCCGTTTTGCCTTTTCTTGGACACTGTCGAAAAACATTGTTAAAGATGACATTCCTACCCCCCCCCCCTTATGTTCTATGTAGTTTAGTATTGTTTAACAGTACTGTTGTGCAGTCGTACCAGCAGGGTTGTTTGTGTTTGAAGTTACCCGACTAGGCGAGTATCATTGGCTATACTAACTTCATGTCTTAGTAACACCCATAAACTTCCTATATCGCGATGTTGCATTCTCTAGGGCCCATTCGTTAATTTCTGATATGATGTAATACAGGTCTGAGATGGCGATGATTGTTTTTGTTTATTTTGCTAGTAATGTATGGTCCTCCTCGGGGTTGTTTTGGGGTGTGGGACATTTATATGTTTTTAACTCTTTCCTCATGACCATTTCTAAAGATATTTTGCTGTCATAAGCTCCACCTATATCTTCAGTATGGATGGAATTATTGGCTGTGGAACAAATATAAATGCGTAAACTAGTACAGTTTTGGTACAGGTATGTTCAGGTACATACATGTATATAACAACTATTGTACATACTTTTACAGTGTACCCGAATCGACATCGATTTTGTGGACAACTCGTTCACATGGTACACCTTTGTGTGCATACGCTTCACTGGTAATTTGTCTGAGTGACAGTGTACATACCGTACTAGTCTTAGAAACGTCACATAGAAACTCTTACTGGTTGTGTAAAAAGAACTTTTCATGATAAATAGTACAGTTTTCGGTTGTGATACGTACTATTTGTGTTACAGATTTACAACTCCCTGTTAATCAACCCTCCGTCGCGTTACTGTACGTCTGGAGGACGTTACCTGAACATCGCATTAGATAACGCCAATACCGGATCGTCCACGTCCAGGGACCGAGGATACTTCACACTTCAGGTCACAGTGCTCCAGCACTCGCCTCCATCCCCAACCCCTGGTCATAGTGGTGAGTTACTATTTATACGGTGTGATTATTTTACTGTCCTAACGCCGACAGAACACCGACTTCCGTCAGTGAGATGAAACCCGTAAGGACGGTTTCATGTAGGCGCGAAACCCGTCATCCATCCATCCATCCATTACTGTCCTATATATCCACAAGCCCAATACTCGTACTTTGATTGAACCTCAGGTAGATTAGGAAGTCGACCAAGAACGACACATTCATGCCGTACATGTAGCTGTATACTGCGTCTTATGTAAAATATTCATACAACTCGTATATTTGTATAGAAATCTATACATTTTGATAATGGCATTCATATCATCTATAGAAGATTGTTCACCGTGATCATATCGAGAGTACTCGGTCTGTTGAATATTGCAGAAACAAACCTTTTTCGGATGGCCAGAGTTGCGACTATTTCTCGGCTAGGCGATTCGGAGATCGTGATTGTCTTACTTGGTAGTTTGTGGTTCAGTTTTACGTTTAGCTGTTAAGATGTTCGGAATACACATACAACAGTATTGTTTTACTATTATTGTAAATTTGCTACGGTACATATACCACCTATGTTACTTCCAGGGTTCCTCTTTTCAACTTTTTTTTGTGTAATTCCTGGCCCACTCCCGTTGTTATCTCTTTCGGTCGTTTGTAAGTTACGACAATTCTTGACTATTTGCGCTATATTATGCTTTTGTGTTAAACACTAATATTTTATCATTTGGTCAAAGATCTATTTAAAGACAACTGCGATTTCCGGCTTCACACCCTGGGTAAAAATGATGTCGGTACGGTGAGATTTAGCGGTGCGAGACTCCCGCGTTTACACTGCAGTATTGGCTTCCAGAGTCAGTCTACCGCGCACTCGGTATGCGTGGTCAGTCAGCCCCCTTTCACCCTGAATGTGTTTGGACCGAGGCTCACCCTGTCACAGGGTAATGGACAGGTATACAGCAAGGTAAGTACTCCATGGTTAGGTGGTGTAGCTGCGATAACGAAGCTTTCTAACGACACGATTATTTTTTATATATTGCGTCGTCAGAGCAGAGGAGGCCTGTTATTAATATTAGTACTAGGTTATGTGCTGCAGCTTGCTGTCCAACTTACACCTAGGATTAGGATTTCAGGAAGATTTCGAGAAGACCATATTGTGGAGGTAAATGTTTAGTTTGTTTTAGCTTTTTTGCATCTACAAACTAAATTTTTAAACTGACGTTTCACGGGTCCCTGTTATTTATTTATTTATTTATTGTTTGCCATTTTTTCATCGATTATGAGTTCAAATTAACGGTTTAAATTACCCTTCGGCATGCTCTTTCTTATGTGACAACAGAAGTTTAGTCTAAGGCCTTGCTATCTAGTTTGTCAGAAAACAAACAATGAAGAACATGTTTTCTAAACACATTTTGGCATACGTAACACTATTGGTGAACGCTGGAGAAAACAGATATTAGATAAAGCAGCTGCTTAGCTAGGGGATCAAACATGATGGTACTGCCTTGTTAAGTTCTCGGTTGTAATAAATAATACATAATTGGATGTTTCAGTCTTATACCTTCCTGTCAATCGTCGCTCCGTCGCGTTACTGTACGTCTGGAGGACGTTACCTGAACATCGCATTAGATAACGCCAATACCGGATCGTCCACGTCCAGGGACCGAGGTTACTTCACACTTCAGGTCTCCGTGGAAAAAACCCAACCATCTCCTTCTAGTGGTGAGTTTCCGTGTATATAGTGTGAATACACATCCGTTTAAACCTCTTTGTGAATAGATATCAATAAACACTCGAAGTACAAGACAAGGAACAATACTACTGATGACTTGTTATGCTGGGGTAGCCTATTACCTCTCTCTTTGGTATGGTATATTTGAAAGAAAAATGACTCTTCCTCCAAAATAAGAAACATTATAGCAGGAACAATAATCTGCAAATGATATAGTACGTGAATTATTTGTAGGATATGACGATGTGTATAATATAGAATACCTAGACAGTTTATCTTATCATTCAATTCACACAATCTCTTCTGCAATGCTCAAGCATGGATTTTGTGCCTTAGCCTAATTTCTTATTTTGTTTATAGATGAAATTTTGGAAAACAAATTGAAGAGACTCTAAGCCGAATACTGTTTTCAATATTTACAATTGCCTTTTTGATCGTTGACATTATTTATGTAAGCTACAAGAAATCTGGCTTGAGCACATAATCCATACTTGAGCATGAGAACGGTTTCGTGAATAGGGACCTGGGTTCGTGGCTTGTATTCATGAAACCGTTCTAATGCTCAAACATGGATTCTATGCCAAACCTTGTGTTCTTGCTTCTCTCTTAAATAATGTGACATAATCAAAAGTAAAGTCTACACAACGCTGAATGGTATTCGGCTTGATGTCGATCTAAAAACATTCAAAACCTTTGACAAAATGCGATTTTGTTATGAATTGTAATACCAGAACAAGAAATTGAACTTGAGGACAGAATCTGAGTTTGAGCTTAAAAGCATGTCTATTTGCTCGACTTTGCTTCGGGAAGTAGGTCTGTCTCGGAGAACTAAACACTTACGATATCTCTCAAGCCCATACATCAACTGTTTACCAGCAATGACATGCACCATCTGTTAGTATCATGTACAGGTAAGATTAGTTACATGTACAGGTAATATTAGTTACATGTACAGGTAAGATTAGTAACATGTACAGGTAAGATTAGTTACATGTACAGGTAATATAAGTAACATGTACAGGTAATATTAGTTACATGTACAGGTAAGATTAGTAACATGTACAGGTAAGATTAGTTACATGTACAGGTAATATTAGTTACATGTACAGGTAAGATTAGTTACTCTAAAGACATGTTGTATATTATTCACCACTTAAGAAGGTAATGAGCTTTTGTCCTTATTTTGTGTTAAGATAGCATTGCATGTACAACTCAATATCAAACCGAAATCTTTCCAGAGCCACCGGCATATCAGGTTTTCAAAGCTTATGTGTATTTGCTGTCTTACCTGTATGGCAAGCCAAGTTGTCATTTATGCATGGAGCAATGTTGATCCAGTACTTAACCAAATTATATAAGATATCTTATTTAATTATATAAGATATCTTATATACTTTATGAGATATCTTATATACTTTATAAGATATCTTATATAATAAATGAGATATCTTATATATTTTATAAGATATCTTATATACCTTTCTTTATAAGATATCTCATAAAAGATATAAGATATCTTATATATTATATAAGATATCTCATAAAAGATATAAGATATCTTATAAAGAAAATTAAATGAGATATCTTATATCTTTTAGAAGATATCTTATATAATATATAAGATATCTTATAAACAAAATTAAATGAGATATCTTATATAATTCGGTTATAAGATATCTTATAAAGAACGAGATTTGAATTTGAGATAATAAACCCTCCTCCACAGCGCTCGGTAAAGCATTAAATCGAAAGCCTTAGTTTCGTACGTATCTCTTAACCGGAAATGAAGTATGTGAAAGTGAAAGTAGGAGTTTAATGCCACCAAATAGGTCTGGTTATAGCGGTATTAACATTATTTTAAAAGGTTAAGCTTTATAAAGTAGATGGGGGGTAAGTGGTGGAGAAATGGATGTTCCTATGTATTTCATAACTGAAGGAAAACGATCCTACTGCATGTATTACTTACAATTTATTCATTAAAATGTTTTATCTTGATTTTCTTCACGGATTTCCTCTAAATGTTTTTAAAGAAATTTGATAAAATTGTAATATTACCCGTACAAATTCACAGACAGGTAATTGACATTAAACATATTAGGAACATTTATTAATTGTTTCGGCTGCTTATCACAGACCGCATTAAAGCCATTTTGGTCTCTGTGGAGTATAACATATAGATAGACATGGGGACATTTTTTTTTATTTACTGTTTCAGACTGGTCATACACCTGTATTTATTATCACAGACAGGCTATGTATCTTTAATTATATTGTTTCAGATAAAATTGTTTTAACTATCACAGACATTAAAGAACATACTTATGTATTTGTAATTCTATGTTCTATCAATATACTGTAATGTAAGGAACATTAATTCATTGTTTCAAACTGGTTATAAACTTGTATTTACTTATACTATTACAGACAAGAAGTAATATTTCATTATTTGATACATATGTATACAGATAAGTGATATTTCATCATCAGGTGCATGTTCTTTAAAGTCTTTGAGATATTGATCACTTATAAGATATATTTTGTAGAGATACAATTGTATTTTGTGACCTAAAAGGCATTTCACACAAGCCAGATACATGGTAACACTTACAGCATGTCTGTAGTAGTAATTACATGTGTAATACCTGTCTGTGATAGTATATACATGTGTAATACCTGTCTGTGATAATATATGCATGTGTAATAACTGTCTATAGTAGTAATTACATGTGTATTACCTGTCTGTGATAGTATATACATGTGTAATACCTGTCTGTGATAGTAAATGCATGTGTATGATCTGTCTGTGGTAGTAAATACATGTGCAATACCTGTCTGTGATAGTATATTCATGTGTAATACATGTATGTAGTAGTACATGTTTAATACCTGTCTGTAGTAGTATTTATGTGTAATACCTATCTGTGATAGTATATGCATGTGTAGTACCTGTCTGTAGTTGTAATTACATGTGTAATACCTATCTGTGATAATATATACATGTGTAATACCTGTCTGTAGTAGTAACTACATGTGTAATACCTATCTGTGATAATATATACATGTGTAATACCTGTCAGTAGTAGTAACTACATGTGTTATACCTGGATGTAGTAATATATATATATATAATATATTGCTGAGCATCAAAACTTGGATACACTTTTGTTAGAAAGACTTGTCCTAACTCAGTGCCTCTTGTTTATTATAAAACACAACAAAGATATCTTTATAAAGAAATATTGAGAAGGTTATATAATGATTTGTATACAGATTATACAAACTAGTAAACAGGGTAAATAAGAAGTGGTTTACAGAGTATATAAAGAATGGTATATAGAGAGTGGTATACAGGGTACATAAAAAGTCCTTATTTATTTAGTAAGGGTATCCTCTATAATACAGCCTCATTGCATAAGGTACCTGTATTTATCATCTCTATTATATATAGTGTATTGACTCATTTTCCAGAAGATACAATGTACATGATACAAAGTATATACATGGTATATTTCCGGTAAAGAGGAAAATAAGACATTTCATCTTCAAAAACCTGTAATTGTAGCATATCTCAGGTCTGAAAAAAACAGAGGCAAATCAGTCACTGGGCCAGAGCATTTGGGTGCCAATAGAGGAAGTTTGGGTGTAAAGATAATTAAGATCCCCCACCATGTAACCATCTGAATACATCCATGCTTACATGATTGGCGCCAGGGTCCTGCCCTGCCACAAGGGGCTTATAGTCCCCAAATTTTACATGAAATCAGTAAAGATCCCATCCAAATGCTGCTGGGCATGCAGAGGAAAAACACTCATGATACCAAGATAGTCCCTAATGGAGCCCACCCCATCCCTGAGGACTTACTCCTTCAGTCATAACATGGAAATTGTTGAGATCCCCAAGCTGATATTTCCTGTATGGTAAGAGGTAATCAACAACTTTTAATGAAAAATATTATTCCAGGTGAGCTATTAATAATGTGCCTGTGCTTCTTGTTCTTGAGAGGCCACAATAAGGGAACATAAATGGGAAACTCCAGCACAAGCAAACATGTTATATTTCCTGTGCATGCAATCAATATGAACCAATATCAGACAACTATTATAAAGATGAGGTACCTTACCTACAGAGAATATGGACCTTACATATACCTCATGTATATGTGCATGCATACAAGATGTACTTGATGTATAGGTGTAATCTGATGTATAGAAGGTATATATATACCTGATGCATGGAAGGTGTATATATATACCTGACCTATAGGAGGTGTATACCTGATGTATAGAAGGTATATATACCTGATGCATGGAAGGTGTATACCTGACCTATAGGAGGTGTATACATGATGTATAGAAGGTATATATACCTGATGCATGGAAGGTGTATACCTGACCTATAGGAGGTGTATACATGATGTATAGAAGGTATATACCTGATGTTTAGAAGGTGTATATCTGATGTATATGAGGTGTATATCTTAAGGTTTTTTTTTTCAATTGTCGCCCTTTTACTCTTGGGGAGGGGATACATTTACATGATGTGATCATGTGGACGCTAAGGGCCTGAGGGGCGGAGCCAAAAGGGGCCAAAATAGCTCAAACAATAATTGTCTACTTCCAGATCCAGATATGTTAAAAAACCTTCTCATGGATGGAAATATCCTGATGTGCTTAATCAAAATGTGAATTTCACAACCCCTTGGGTACTAATTCCTCCCTGGTGAGGGGCAAAATTCCCTGCTATACATATATATATATGTAATTTTTATTTTTGACATATCACAACAACAAATAACAATTGCATTACAACTCAGGTGACCTGTTAGGCCCATGGGGCTCTTGTTTTAAAGTACTGTATTAGTTGGATGTGTTGATATTGGCTTCCACTAATAATCCCACTACTTACCTATAATTAGATGTGGGTTACAGGGACATGTCACATGCTTATTAAGTGTGCTGCAAAATATATATATATACTGTGATGCCCATTCATTATATATAATATCTTCCATTGTATATATAAACGAGTACCTGGTAGTATTTGACATGTCCCTATAGACTTAAGGTTATGGAATTATGCACTATAGAAATATTCAAATTTCAAATATTTCATATCAATATGGATTGAGTGTCGGTGCTATATATTTAAAAAAAAAACTGTTCAAAACAGTTGATTCTCAAACAGAATTTGTTCTGTATCAAAAAAAAAAATGTTTTTGGGCTGAAATATCTATCCTAGATGTTATTATTAAAAAGAGTTATACAATACTTATCCACAAGTTTTTGAGTCTTGAACCCAAATGTTAAGCACATGTATCAGTAAACTGAATATTTCTCTTGGAATCTGCTTCAAACTTTGGGGGAAAAGTCCTATTTGTACCATATGCTCCCCTGAGTGATAAAATTAATTTGGAAAAGGAACTGAAATACAAGACATTCTTCATTTTTGAAATTATATCTAAGTTCCCTAAGTTTATGATCTAGTGCCAGTCACTTTTCATAAATAAAGATGATGAGATTAATTTAATATAATAAAATAACCTTGCTATAGTGATATGTACACATATATAGTATAAATATATTTTATTATGAATTTTTTCTTGGACTTAAAATTAACCTAGAGAGGTCAAGTTAGATCAAATGTAAAAATAAGCAGTTAATGTCCTGGGTATAATAAATTGTATTTCATTATAAATATTCTTCGTGTATTTTAGATTTGCTTATATCTGGTAGATTGCAAGATTCTATACCACCAGGTCTAAATTAACATATAGGACAGTCTTTGAAAAATGGGACAAAATCTAAACAAGCTACTTGGGGTGGGCGACTCACTGAGGGTAGGTTAACTAATTTGATTGGTTTGGAAGAACACTGAACAGATGTACATGTCCTTTACCTGTTAACTCACAAAATACATGAACACAAACTTTAAACCATGAATTTATAACACAGGAAAATCAGCAGAAATCAATAAATTTTGCTTACAACAAAGAAGACAAGTGATGTGAATGATAAATGTTGAATCAACTAACTCAGCTTAGCTTTCTGACATCAACTATAAGACAAGACCTCATTAATAATATAAACCAAACCCCTCCCCCCTCCCCAAATCAAACCAAACTAGAATTCTTCAACGAGGCTGTGTACGAAAAATAACATAAATCAAGATGAATTTTAAAATCTCACTTTATATTTGAGTATGTGGTGACTGATTATGACAATATTTCTGCGCTCTTACCGAGTTTGGCATCATTACACCTTCACAATATAAATCCTCAGCAAACTACTTTCATTTGTCTCATTCTGGTTGAAAATGACGTACAACAGATTAATAAATGACAGTGATTCTCACTAATAAGAACTATATCTAAACCTTTGGATTTTAGGCCAACGAAACTAAATTGTCATTTGAATAAATAAACATGTAGCAACTTCACAGACATTTTCTAAGTTCTCAATGGCTCTTTAGAACACTCGAGTTTCTTTCGGAAAAGTTTATAACTCTGGATTATTCCAGCCATTTTAGAATATATTAATGTGTGATTCCTAACACTAATATTTTAAAATGTATGCGTAAATATAATAATTAATATTTGAATATATCAACTAAAATTCTATATTGGTGTTAGTTATACTTCCTGTTGAAAAATAAGCTAGTTTTACACAGCTCCCGTTTATCGGACTCGTGATCTAAGTACAACGGGAGCAGTCATTTTCAAACATTTCTTCTTTGTCGGTCTCGCGAGAGTCTCGTTCTTTATAAGATATCTCATAAACTTTTCTTTATAAGATATCTTATATCTTTTATGAGATATCTTATATAATATATAAGATATCTTATAAAGAAAATTAATTGAGATATCTTATAAAAGATATAAGATATCTTATATATTATATAAGATATCTTATAAAAGATATAAGATATCTTATAAAGAAAAGTTTATGAGATATCTTATATCTTTTATAAGATATCTTATATCTTTTACAAGATATCTTATAAAGTATATAAGATATCTTATAAAAGATATAAGATATCTCATAAACTTAAAATAAGATATCTTATATGTTTATAAGATATCTTATATGTTTATAAGATATCTCATATGTTTATAAGATATCTTATATAATATATAAGATATCTTATATAATATATGAGATATCTTATATAATTTGGTTAAGTACTGGATCAACATTGCTCCATGAATAAATGACAACTTGGCTTGCCATATACCTGTGTTAATTAAGTAACTTTCAAAAACTTGCCCGACAGTCGAAACGTGGATGTACTAAAATGACTGCCCATGTCGGTCCCGTCACGTTGCGTCCGTCCCCTCCCCGTCCCGTCCCGTTCCGATTCAATGTTAACACTTAGCAACTTCATTCTTTGACAGATTTGGTCAAACTTTATACAAAGGTCAAGTCAGTCCAAATTATTCTGATGTTTTATCGACTTTTTTTTTATATCGGTCTGTCGTCGATTAACGTCAGAACTCCGGCCCTCTATAATATGCGGGAAATAACCGACCCGCGCCCGGGTCGCACTTCAAACTAATATATTAGAAACAAATCGTCACTTTCACACACATGTCGCACATGGATCGAACGTTATATTCTTTATGCACTAGGTGGTATCAATAACATGTTTCAAATATCATTACGACCAGTATTTTCCAACGTTTTCTATTCCAACCCATGTTTTTAATGGAAATTAAGTCATGAGAAATGTCACATGACTTGACGAGACCTCGCGTTACCGAAAGTATTTACAAACGTTATTACGTAGGCCGGCGAGATTTTAGTCACGTGGCATTAGAAAGCGGGGCTATAAAAAACTAGAGTAAAACAGAGCAAGTTTGAAAAAATATGTTTTTAGTGATTGTATTGATTGTTTGAGGCATATTATGTATGTTCATCTTGTGCATAAAGAATAGATCTTTCGATCCATATGCGACATGTGTGTGAAAGTGACGATTTGTTTCTAATATATTAGTTTGAAGTGCGACCCGGGTGCGGGTCGGTTATTTCCCGCATATTATAGAGGGCCGGAGTTCTGACGTTAATCGACGACAGACCGATATAAAAAAGTCGATAAAACGTCAGAATAATTCGGACTAAGGTCAAGTATGGGTATACTTCGGACATTGCTGTGTTTCAGGGTTCCAAGGTCAAGGCACAGGTCACTGTTGCTATATATATAGAAAATCATCAACTGATTCAATTTAAACACTTAGCAACTTCATTCAATATGTTATGGAGACAGTAATAACATACAGAAAAAACCCATATGAATATTAAAATCAACTTATCAACTTTAAGTGTAGTACCTTGTGCGTGTGCATGTTTCAGGGTATCAATATCAAAGTGGTTGTAACTTTTTATAGAACACTGAAACTAATTTCACATGGCAGACATACAGACTTACAGACATTTTCTAGTTATATAACAATTACGAAAGAAGTTCTATCAACTAATATTAGTAATTCTTGTTGGCCCGGATGGTAGTATGCTGTGGGTGTAAACGTGGAAGGAAACCAGAGTTCCCGGAGAAAATTATCAGAGTCGGACAGGCAATTCCATAACTTCCAAATCCGGGCACAGAATCAAAACCCATCCGTCGGAATGAACGGCGACTAAGTTATCCATTGAACCTCGGGACCACCAGACTACCCATAGTGTTCCCTACAACTAATCGTACTTATCGATCGTCAACATGCATCATCTTGATCAGCTATTGTGTTTTATTTACTTTTTCTATTACAGCGTCTTAATACTATACTGCTTGTTGTGTGTTAATTAACAAGGAACATTGACCTGGAAGGATCTTAGTAACACAAATAATGATGATAACCATGAAAAACAAAATATAAAAATCTATAGATTATTTTTTATTAATGATTATATTTTAAAAGAAATCACGATAAAATACATTACATACAAAGCATAAATATTCATAGATAGGTGGAGCATATGTTGTGCATGTAAATCCAGGTTAAATGTTTATTCGAATCTCTATTTGAATATTTACAATAGGTTATCATATCTTCTGTTACAATCGCTGTAGGCATATATCGAGATAATATATCAAGTATCAATGTATCGGCTCTTTACGTTCTGCCCTACTTCTGTCTACTGCCCCACTTCCGTGTACTGCCCTACTTCCGTAACTGCCCAATTTCCGTTTACAGACGTACGCATAATTGTAGTCGCTGTTGATGATACAGACACGACTTTTGATCACCAAACCCGCCTTCGTCAGGAACTCCTCCTTGTTTTCCCATCCCCAGCCCACGCCAAGACCAGAACCGTGGTCGCACGAGCTACTTGGAATACACCACCACGAGCTGAGTGTAAGTGCCTGTGCCGCCTGAATGTTTCCAACGTTTTTCAACGGGTCGCTGCTCACCTTCGGATCAACAATGATGACGATTCCGTCGGCCGCAAGCACCTTCAGAACCTGCTTTATAGCTGCCTCGGGGTGCTGGAGGTCATGGAGGACGTCAAACATAAGAACCACATCATATTTTTTGGTCCAGTCTTCTGGCAATTTAGAGATGTTTTCAATGCCGTAGCTGACGTTTTTGACTGTAAAAGAGCCCAGCTTTGCATCCGTAATCGCCTTCTCCGAAAGGTCGCAGCCTGTAACTGCGGACGCTGGAAGTGCCTCGGCGAGGGGAGTTGTTATGTCGCCCGTCCCACACCCCACGTCTAGGACGTTCTTATGTTTTTCTAAAATACAAAACACGGTAGTAAATTGCAAATTATGTTTAAACTAATACGTTTATTGAAAGTTGCTGCTAATTTGATTTCGTCTGAAATAACAAGCGCATTCCTGATGTAAAGAGTTTGTTCAAATTTACCTGACATCATTGAAATAACAATGATTTTATATAATTTATTTGGCGTTGTACCGACCTGCGTGAGTTGCTATCAGCTGAGAGAGTTCCTTTGCTATGGAATTGTTGTAATTTGCCCGGAGAGACCGAACGTAGTTCATAACGTACGGGGCCTCATCGTGACTGTAGCCTGCAAAGAATTGTAGCATAATAACTGTAGTTTAAAATGACGATTGGCTGAATGAGAAGTAGGTGGTGAACATGGCGGACAGACCGTAATACCACAATGGAAGATAAAGCGGCGAAATAAAAACGAGAAATGAGTTGTGAGTAACTCGACATATTCACAGTCACTAAAACAACAAAAGAATAGCTTTACTTATAGGGACCACTGAAAAAGTTCAAGTTTGCTTATTTATATATGTGTGTATGTGAGGGCGCGCGCGCGTGCGCGTGTGTGTGTGTGTTATGGAGTGTGGTCTGAGTGTTCAAACATATATATGAACATATATACATATATATAAGAAAGTATTTTATAAGTTTTCAAATGTCACCAAATAATGTTTCTTTTACTTCTTATGAAGGACAAATGTGTCTTGTTGAGCTATGTATTAAATTAATGCTTTCTGTCCATCTATACCGGTAAGTAGAATACTTATATAGACTAAGCCTGTTGTCTCATCCAATTGTTCAATTTTTTCCAAATAAGATGTTTCAATTTTTTTTTGGAAATCTAAAAAAAAACAAAGTTCAAGAAAAAATAAGGACCAGGTATTCCTGAACGGTAAGCCTCTTTTGCTTCATCGACGACGCCCGGTATTTAAATCTAGGTCAAATCCAACAAATACCACGTCCTCATAACGCGAACCGAGGTAATGACAACAAAACGACAAGTAAACTGATGAGCATAGTAAACAACACCGACTTTCATATCGAACCACAAATAACCTGTTTTCCAAATGAGATCATGCTTTCGACTATTATTTTTCCATATTCTTTATCTGCTAGCAACTTTTCGACACCTTAGGTTGGGGAGGCGTCGATGTTACTATCAAGAAAAGGAACTTTTTAAGTAAAGATCAAGCGGTTTAAGGAGGAGAATTTCCCCTAGATTTGACGTTCAGGGGGTATCACAATAGAAACAGTCACTGCTATCTGGCTATTTAGCGAGAGCACTTGACAATGGCTTTGTTACTCATCCAGTCCCAATAAGCTCATCAATTAATTCAGCCTTAAACTGAGCACCATGTTCAGGTCGATAACTTACATTGGCTTAGTGCGTTGCTGTAACGACGAGAAAGACACAATCTTCCCGATCAAGCGCATTGTTTATATTTTTGCATCATTAATTGTATTTGATTTATTATGCCTTGCTATGTGTACCATTTTAATTTCTCTCAACATGTATTCTTACTAATAAAGGTTAATTGAAATGGTTACTTATCGGGACTCTTACTGATAAAGGGCAATACAAATGGTTACTTATCGGGACTCTAACTGATAAAGGGTAATACAAATGGTTACTTACCGGGACTCGAACTGATACAGGGTAATATAAATGGTTACTTACCGGGACTCGTATTGATACAGGGTAATACAAATGGTTACTTACCGGGACTCTAACTGATAAAGGGTAATACAAATGGTTACTTACCGGGACTCGAACTGATACAGGGTAATATAAATGGTTACTTATCGGGACTCTTATTGATAAAGGGTAATACAAATGGTTACTTACCGGGACTCTTACTGATAAAGGGTAATACAAATGGTTACTTACCGGGACTCTAACTGATACAGGGTAATATAAATGGTTACTTACCGGGACTCGTATTGATACAGGGTAATACAAATGGTTACTTACCGGGACTCTTACTGATAAAAGATAATAGAAACGGTTACTTACCGGAGGGACCAGCGTCTGTAAAACACTTTTCAAGGTGCCACCTTTTGAAACGGCAGAATATATCCTAATTCACGGGAAAGAAACATTTCCTTAAAGATTGTCCAATCTGGAACTAAAACCTTTCTTTGAGCTGTCATTTGTACCACCTCAGACGAAACGTATGATTTCATCAACTCAGCAACATACCTGTTAAAGATAAAACACTGGTTATAATTACCGTACACTCTTATTGTAAGTCCATTCGGCACACCTCGGCAGCCGAATGATTGTAAGTCTAGCATCATAGATACGGTCGTCAACGTAACAGTTTACCTGGATACTTTTCAGTACAGTCTTATTGTAAGTCCATTCGGCACACCTTGACAGATTCTGGTTCCTTACATCAAACGGCCAAATGATTGTAAGTCTAGCATCATAGATATGGTCGTTAACGTAACTATTTACCTGGCTCCAATACAGTACAGTCTTATTGTAAGTCCATTCGGCACACCTTTACAGATTCTGGTTCCTTACATCAAACGGCCAAATGATTGTAAGTCTAGCATCATAGATATGGTCGTTAACGTAACTATTTACCTGGATACAATACAGTACAGTCTTATTGTAAGTCCATTCGGCACACCTTGACAGATTCTGGTACCTTACATCAAACGGCCAAATGATTGTAAGTCTAGCATCATAGAAACGGTCGTTAACGTAACTGTTTACCTGGATACTATCAGTACAGTCGCATTATTAGCCTAGCATCATAGATACGGTCGTCAACGTAACTGTTTACCTGGATACAACACAGTACTGTCTTATTGTAAGTCTAGCATCATATCTATGGTCGTATACGTAACTGTTTACATGGTAACCATATAGTACAGTCTTATTGTTAGCCTAGCATGATAGATACGGTCATCAACGTAACTGTTTACCTGGATACAATACAGTACAGTCTTATTGTCAGCCTTACATCATAAATACGGTCGTCAACGAAAATATTTACCTGGATACCATACAGTCAGTCTTATTATTAGCTTATCATCATAAATACGGTCGTCAACGTGACTGTTTACCTGGATACCATACAGTCACGTTGACGACGCTAGCCTAGCATCATATATACATATAACATATTGTCCCCGATACATATAACATATTGTTCCCGATACATATAACATATTGTTCCCGATACATATAACATATTTTCCTCGATACATATAACATATCGTTCCCGATACATATAACATATTGTTCCCGATACATATAACATATCGTTCCCGATACATATAACATATTGTTCCATCCAAATACATATAACATATTGGTCCCGATACATAAACATATATTCATTTTAGAACCATTTCAAAAAAAATGTTGCTACTTGTACATTCGCCTCTAATCTCTGCTCACAGCGTTTGTCTAGTTAAATGCTTACGGTTCTTTAAGATGTGTTTCTTTAGCTAACGTCGCGATGTCGCATGGCTTTCCTAGATCTTGCATTGCCTGAAAGAGGTTTACTCTTTTGGCCAGGTTTATGCCGGATAACAGGAGCGGATTAGCAACAACGCGACCCAAACACTTCTTATAGATCTCCTTACTCATTCCGATATGGCGGGTAGAGATTCTCTGTAATGCAAAACAGTCATATATAATAGCAGTAATTAGGGTCGTAACAATTTAACATGATTATCAAAAACGCTTACAACCCCCTAAACTACCAACAAATGTCGTTGTGCCTCTATTAGTGTTCAGTATTGCCTTGTAGAATATACAAATAAACATTACCTACAAGAGTTGTGAGAGCTGTTCTGTGTCACACTGACGATTATACAATACCTACAAGAGTTGTGAGAGCTGTTCTGTGTCACACTGACGATTATACAATACCTACAAGAGATGTGAGAGATGTTCTTTGTCACATTGACGATTATACAATACCTACAAGAGTTGTGAGAGCTGTTCTGTCTCACACTGACAATTATACAATACCTACAAGAGTTGTGAGAGCTGTTCTGTGTCACACTGAGGATTATACAATACCTACAAGAGTTGTGAGAGATGTTCTTTGTCACATTGACGATTATACAATACCTACAAGAGTTGTGAGAGATGTTCTGTGTCACACTGACGATTATACAGTACCTACAAGAGTTGTGAGAGATGTTCTTTGTCCCATTGACGATTATACAATACCTACAAGAGTTGTGAGAGATGTTCTGTGTCACACTGACAATTATACAATACCTACAAGAGTTGTGAGAGCTGTTCTGTGTCACACTGACGATTATACAATACCTACAAAAGTTGTGAGAGCTGTTCTGTCTCACACTGACAACTAGACAATACCTACAAGAGTTGTAAGAGATTTTCTGTGTCACATTGACGATTATACAATAACTGCTAGAAATGTGGAGCTCGGTAAACGTTATTAGGAAGATTAACGCACTGTCTACTAGAGATGTAAGTGTTATACAGTGTCATCGTTCAGAATACAAAATCTTCTAATTAATATACAATGAATTAAGGATATGATGAGTAGGCATTTATTTACCAAAAGTTGAATTTTGTCAATATACCTGTTATTTACCCAAGGTTGATTACTGTTAATCTAATCGTTATTAACCCAATGAAGTTATATAACTGCTCATCAACGCTATATTGACCCAATGTTGAATACTGCCCATCAACGCGTTATTAACCCAATGTTGAATACTGCCCATCAACGCGTTATTAACCTAATGTTGAATACTGCCCATCAACGTTATATGTACCCAATGTTGAATACTGCCCATCAACGCGTTATTAACCCAATGTTGAATACTGCCCATCAACGTTATATGTACCCAATGTTGAATACTGGCCATCAACGCGTTATTAACCCTATGTTGAATACTGCCCATCAACGAGTTATTAACTTAATGTTGAATACTGCCCATCAATGCGTTATTAACCTAATGTTGAATACTGCCAATCAACGCGTTATTAACCTAATATTGAATACTGCTCATCAACGCTATATGTACTTAATGTTGAATACTGCCGATCAAAGCGTTATTAACCTAATGTTGAATACTGCTCATCAACGCTATATGTACCTTATGTTGAATAATGCTCATCAACGCGTAATTAACCCAATGTCGAATACTGCCAACAACGCGTTATTTACCCAATCTTGAATACTGCTCATCAACGCGTTATTAACTTAATGTTGAATACTGCCCATCAACGAGTTATTAACTTAATGTTGAATACTGCTCATCAACGCTATATGTACCCAATGTTGAATTCTGCTCATCAACGCGTTATTAACGTAATGTTGAATACTGCTCATCAACGCGTTATTTACCTTATGTTAAATACTGCTCATCAATGCGTTTTTAACCTAATGTTGAATACTGCTCATCAATGCTATATGTACCCAATGTTGAATTCTGCTCATCAACGCGTTATTAACCTAATGTTGAATACTGCTCATCAACGCTATATGTTACTAATGTTGAAAACTGCCCATCAACACGTTATTAACCCAATGGTGAATACTGCTCATCAACGCGTAATTAGCCTAATGTTGAATACTGCTCATCAACGCGTTATTAACCTAATGTTGAATACTGCCCATCAACGCGCTATTAACTCATGTTGAATACTGCTCATCTTCGCGTTATTAACCTAATGCTGAATACTGCTCATCGACGCTATATGTACCTAATGTTGAATACTGCCCATCAACGCGTTATTAAACCTGATGTTGAATACTGCTCATCAACACTATATGTACCTAATATTGAATACTGCCCATCAATGCGTTATTAACCTAATGTTGAATACTGCTCATCAACGCTATATGTACCCAATGTTGAATACTGCCCATCAATGCGTTATTAACCTAATGTTGAATACTGCTCATCAACGCTATATGTACCCAATGTTGAATTCTGCTCATCAACGCGTTATTAACCTAATGTTGAATACTGCCAATCAACGCGTTATTAACCTAATGTTGAATACTGCCAATCAACGCGTTATTAACCTAATATTGAATACTGCCCATCAACGCTATATGTACCTTATGTTGAATGCTTCCCATCAACGCGTTATTAACCCAATGGTGAATACTGCTCATCAACGCGTTATTAACCTAATATTGAATACTGCTCATCAACGCGTTATTAACCTAATGTTGAATACTGCCCATCAATGCGTTATTAACCTAATGTTGAATACTGCCCATCAACGCGGTATTTAATCAATGTTGAAAACTGCTCTTCAACGCGTTATCAACCTAATGGTGAAAACTGCTCATCAACGCGTTTCTAACCTAATGTTGAATACTGCTCATCAACGCTATTTGTACCTTATGTTGAATACTGCTCATCAACGCTACATGTACCTAATGTTGAATACTGCCCATCAACGCATTATTAACCTAATATTGAATACTGCTCATCAACGCGTTATTAACCTAATGTTGAATACTGCCCATCAACGCATTATTAACCTAATATTGAATACTGCCCATCAACGCGTTATTAGCCTAATATTGAATACTGCCCATCAACGCATTATTAACCCAATGTTGAATACTGCCCATCAACGCGTTATTAACCTAATATTGAATACTGCCCATCAACGCGTTATTAGCCTAATATTGAATACTGCCCTTCAACGCATTATTAACCCAATGTTGAATACTGCCCATCAACGCGTTATTAACCTATTCTTGAATACTGCCCATCAACGCATTATTAACCCAATGTTTAATACTGCCCATCAACGCGTTATTAACCCAATGTTGAATACTGCCCATCAACGCGTTATTAACCTAATGTTGAATACTGCCAATCAACGCGTTATTAACCTAATGTTGAATACTGCCAATCAACGCGTTATTAACCTAATGTTGAATACTGCCCATCAATGCGTTATTAACCTAATGTTGAATACTGCCCATCAACGCATTATTAAGCTAATATTGAATACTGCCCATCAACGCGTTATTAACCTATTATTGAATACTGCCCATCAACGCATTATTAACCCAATGTTGAATACTGCCCACCAACGCGTTATTAACCTAATGTTGAATACGTTGAATACTGCTCATCAACGCTATTTGTACCTAATGTTGAATACTGCTCATAAACGCGTTATTAACCTAATGTTGAATACTGCCAATCAACGCGTTATCAACCTAATGTTGAAAACTGCCCATCAACGCGTTATTAACCTAATGTTGAATACAGCCCATCAATGCTTTATTAACCCAATATTGAATAATGCCATCAATGCTTTATTAACCTAATGTTGAATACTGCCCAGCAACGCTATATTAATCCAATGTTGAATACTGCCCATCAACGCTTTATTTACCCAATGTTGAATACTGCCCATCAACACGTATTAACCGAATGTTGAATACTTCCCAGCAACGCATTATTTAACCATTATTTAATACTGTCCATCAGTCTTTTATCTAACCATTATTTAATACTGTCCATCAGTTTTTTATTTAACCATTATTTTATTTAACCATTATTTAATACTGTCCATCGGTCTTTTATTTAACCATTATTCAATACTGTCCATCAGTCTTTTATTTAACCATTATTTTATTTAACCATTATTTAATACTGTCCATCGGTCTTTTATTTAACCATTGCTGAATAATGTTCACCAATCCTCAATCGAACTATTCCTGAATACTATAGTTCACCTCATTATTTACTCATTGTCAATCACAGCCAATCAACCCTTAATTTTCCCCTTGTTAAATACTGTCCATCAGCTTTTTATTTATCTTTTGTTGAATGATGTTCATCAATCCGTTATTTACTCAATGTTGAATACTGTCCATCGGTCCTTTATTTACCCGATGTTGAATACTGTTTATTAGCCATTTATCTACCAAGGTTGAATACTGTCACTCAGCCCTTCAATTACCCAATGTTGAATGTATTTCATCAGCCCAGTATTTTAATATTTTGAATATTTTCATCTAGTTGCATGTTTATATCTAATACTAAGTACTATTTCCTGGCATCATACATGTATTTAAATGTTATAGAGTAGCGGTATCTAGTTCTATATAAATCTAATATTGAGAGAATTATTTAAGTTCTACATGACCTAACGTTTAGTGTTGTCTTCCAGACTATTATATACATAGCCATTATAGGGAAGTGTTCCCCAGACCTATACTTACATAAATCTGACTACTTCCCACCAGTCCTATACCATCTACTGATCAGGGTCGTCCTCCAGTCGTGTCGGTGTGTTGGTATGGAGCATGATAATATACACTATTAACACTCCGGACGCTGACGCCGCAAGTAACCAACAATATTTCCCGGCAACAGGACGTCTGGTTCTGGGGTAAGATACAATACGTGGTTCCAGTATAGAGTGATTCATCATGTACTTAAAACTATCTCATTTCTATCTAAAGTTGGAGTAGTTTTCTCCCCTCTTTGTGTACTATGCAACTCTGAACCGGAAAAATTACTCATATATTATGGGAATGTGAGGAAGTACAAAGATTACTAAAAGATTTTGACACATTCATGGAAGCTCTTTTAATCCCATTTTCAGTAAACAAAAAATCTTTTCTTTTTGGCCTTCTTCATCAGAATTTTCTTCCCAGTAATCGAGTAGATAATGAAATCATCATCATTATAAAGCAGTATATTTACAGAATGAGATGTTTACATAACTCATTAAATATAAACGCTCTTGTAAACATAATAAAGGACAACTATCAGATTCAATAATACATTGTTAATGGTAAGGATGAAAAAGCTAAACATAAATTTGAAATTGACTGAAAAAATGGGACAAACTAATTAAGTTGCAATACATTTTTATTATCATATTATCACTATTATAATTATTTCTATGACATACTCCATCAAACATATTTTAATTTCTGCCCTTCCTAAGCCGATGTATTACCTATATATAATATAATATACATGAGTGAATATCCACCTCATTTTCCACCATCTCGCCCAACTTTTCCTACATTTCTTCTCTCTTTTCTTTATGTTCTCTGTTCTCCCTTTCTTTTCATTTTCTCAATCCCTTTCTCAATTCCTCTTCCTTATAAAGACCATGCAATGTACTCAGCAGACAGTTTGTGCACATTTCTCATTTACCTTTTTGTGTGGGACTGATATTTCTTCTCTTTGCATTTATATATCAATAATCGGTAGATACAGGAATGTCTGAAAATGTCTAATGTCATGCATATGGGTTTGTGCGAGTACAACGCATGTGAGTATGGTGAAATCATATTAATTATGTCTATACATGGACATGGGTGTTTTTCACATGGATATGAATTATACAGTATGTGCTGTTATGTATAATTTAGTGCAGATGTTGTTTCCAGCTTAAAAATATATACCATACGGATGTAGGTTGATATGTGTTCTATTTTTACACGAGGCATAGCAATGAATGGTTGAGACATATATATGTCAGACACATGGATGGATGCATATATATGTGTAATAAAATGTTAAAATGTAAAAATAGACGGAAATGAGTATGTAAGTTTATTATGCTAGTGTGGTTAAATATCATCCTGAGAATGTATATACTCTATGACATAACAGATATAGGTTAATGTATGTATGCGCCAGTATACAAATGAGTGAATGTTTTGCTATTTGTTGTTTTACATGTACATTGCATTGATGAAAAATCTGAACAAAAAGATAAATATAAAATGAAAAGTTACAATAATTTCCTGTTTTTGCAATAACGTTAAAATGCCAATCTACGTGTAGCTAAAATAATTTAAATACACCAAATGGCCCACCAGAATTTATTTTCTGATGTTTTTGAAATAACAATTAACACGCCTTTTTGGATTAAATGGCCGCAGCCTATTTAATGATACATATTCTCAACAAATGTGACGAGCAGGCCTTTACACTGACAGGTAATTTCCTCCCCCCTGGGTTATCCAAAGCGGGTTGGAATTTTACCCAACTAATCTCACCAATGACTAGAGTTATACACTTTAGATACATAGAACGGTAAAGCCTGTCTCACACAGAACACGGTTGGGCACACGGTTCCAATACGGTAAACTCGGTTATACACGGGTTGACTGGTACGAGTATTGAGCTCCAACCGTGGCTGGGGATGAGTTAGTACGATTTAGACTCGAATGTAGCACGAGTATGTACGAACAAAGCACGGATATACTCGGTCAAGCAAGGTTTGTCATGGTTTGAACACGATTTGCAAACGATTTTCATACGATTGTTGTACAGTTCCAAGTACGGTCTAGTACGGTCTGGTACGGCCTAGTACGATTAAACACGACTTTTACTCGATTAACTGGACGGATCCAGAGGGTTTTTTTGGGCTTCAGGAACCCCCACCCACCCTTAGAATTTTCTTTAAAAATCAGGAATTTTCACCATTTTCCTCAATTTTCCCCCACATGGAAACCCCCCCAGGAAATTTGGAAACCCCCCCGGATAGGTCTCTGGATCCGCCACTGGGACATTTACAGGGTTTACATACGGTCCCACCGACTTTTGTTCCATACGATTTATATACGATATTGACACGGTTGAGCTCACTCGTGGAGTGGACTTCATGTGCGGTTGTATATACGGTCTCGTAAGGTCTCACATGGTCTCTCACGGTCTTGTACGATCGCTAATACGATCATACACTGACATGGCACCCGTGCCAGTTTTTTAAAAGTTTTAAAAATCACACACGGCTTTCACGGAATGGCCCGAGTGTAACTCGGATAAGGCCACGGTTGGTTCGGTTTTATGTACGGTTTACACGGGTGGCCAACCGTATAAGCCGCGTGTTCTGTGTGAGACAGGCTTAAGTACCCCACACTGAGTATCTACCAAACTGGTACCGGACACATCAGCTACTCACCCTCCCAAAGGTGATTGGCAGAGTTTGCATGTACCCGACTATAAATAGCCTTGTCGATCTACCCAGAACAACGAGGCTCCACCATACTTCCAGGGTATAACCTTGGCAAGTATTACGTAACATTCTCCTCCAAGGAGAAACCAAATACTGTACATATGTATATCTATATCCTAATTACCATTATAGTACTTCCACCATCTCGACTCCCTGGGATTCACAAGGCAAGTTTGATGGGGAGTTTATTGTTAAACCCGTTTATAATATAATGTGGGTTTACCCGACTCCGATGGTAAAACCATAGCAAACCGGTTCCCCACAATTCCTATACAGGTACTACACACACAAACCTATACATTTTGAAACTTATAAAAATATGCCTGCTCGCCACAACATGCCATTTGGGACTGTTTATACAGTTCCACCATCCATCCCCATTACATAAGAGAATAAGTCTCTCAGAACATTATTCAAATATTAATTTTACAGTGTCAGGTGAATTGTGACCAACAAGGAAAGTTTCAAATGCTCCCTGTAATGTATTCAGAAAAATTGCATTGCCAATATTTTCTAAATGAACCCCATCTGCCCTGAAAAGCCATGCACTGTCGTACGCGATATCCACATGCTTAACTACCCTACCACCAACACTTAAAACTGTCCGACGACCTACCCTATTAACCCGTTTGCGTTTTCTTTCTGTTCCTGTCACTGATGTACAGCCACGCCATTGTAGACGTGGTAATATATCTGACCATATGATGGTACAATGTGGCATGTTTTTGGCAAATGTGTGCACATCATTTTTAATGCGTACACACAAATCTGATGTTGGTGTTGTTGTCAAGTCATTACCTCCAGCATGGATAACGAGGAAATGTGGTGGAGGTTGTTGGCTCAACTGATAAGTCAGGGCTCCTCTAACATCAAACCAGGACATTCCACGTTTGCCTAACCATTTGATGCTCGCCCCCAAACTTTGGAGATGCAGGCTGGGATTCGACAATGTGTGTGACTTCCGATGCGTCCAGCAGATAATTGATGAACCGAAAATCCTTATATCTGAAATACTTTTGGCTGTGTTAGCCTTAATTGAACTGTCACTCGTCTTAAATTGATTAGTCTAAGGGAGACAACTCTTATGCTATAAAAACTACTAGCAATGAAGAACTTTATCAATGCGAATATACGATGAGTATGTTTTGGAGATACATCTACCTCAACTTTTAATTGTTTCACCGGAAATTCCTTTCATTGATAATTTTGTAGCCGCCCCAATTCGAAAGGAGTGAGATTTGAAATTTTGGTGTGGAATCCCCAAACAAATGATTGACTTCCGCAACAATGCACTAAACTGGTAACGTGTCAATGGGGAACCATTCTAGTGTATACACAGAAAGCCAGAACAACCTGGCCTTATTTTCAATTATGATTCCATATTAGCTATAGGGCAAACTGGACAATCACGAAATTTTGAAATTGAAATTGTTGTCGACATTCCCTGTTTGTCAGTTTTTGAATGGCGTATTATTACCACTATTCCTTCATCGCTCAATGATATATCAGAGATGAGCAGAGGACATTTTGATATTGAAGCCGATACATACACAATTTCCCCTACCCTGAATAGGCTAAACAATATGCTGCCCTGAAAAGTTGTGTTTCATAACTTGACTTACAAATGATGGGCAACACGTGAATTATTTTAATGAGAATGTCATATGTGATAGGGGCCCGTATATCAGGAGAGCCTCTTAGTCGTCTAAAACCTTCTAATGCTTTAGTAACAATGAAGAACGAGGTAGGGTCTTCCCAACCATGCAACTTGTGAACATAACTTATTGCTGATAAATAAGATTGTACTTTGCCCGGGGCAGAACCCTTTTGTGTTGCCCGACAGACTAACATTCAAAAGTCGTCCAATTTAATCTGACAAATCGGCCATAGCTACATGGGAATCGGAACAGATGTGGCCTCTGCCTGCGGTACCAGTGGTCTTGATTTGTTCAGCTGTAAATGTGACAAACTACCAGTTATTACATTAAAACAGCATGTAATGTGTTCTGCCTTAAACACCACGTTGAGGTGTATACAACGCCACACAAATATCCTAAGCATTGACAAAACAATTGTTGACTTAGTCGTCATGGTGTTTTCTATTACTACAACTGATTGGTTATCACTGCGAAATAAAATGTTCTTATTACGCAATCGGTCACCCCAAATATGTACTGCCACCACCAGGGGAAAGAAATCTAGTATTGTGATGTCATTTGTGTACCCCAGTTCAAACCATGATTCTGGCCATACACCATATGCCCAACTACCATTAAAGTATGACCCGAAACCATTCCCTCTTTTTTGCTGAGCTGTCTGTAAAATGTTCC